GATAATCGTTCCAGAGTATTAATAAGTTGGGTCTCGTAATTACTAAAGGTGCCAGGTGCTCTGTAAGTGCACCCAATTAATACTATTGCATTATTTAAGTGTAAGTTAACCCATAGAGTCTCAGGCATGTTAAGTGTACTACTTCCTAGCTGTGATACGGTAAGTGCATTCAGAAAGTACATGAGACAACCCCCTCCCTTACCACCTTCCCTGTCACACCGAAAGTGTGTGTAGTTATCTAGGCTTATCTCTTCATCCAGTATGTTCGAGTTATACCAAGATTCAGTGACGACAATTATAGGGGGTTTGTATATTAGTGTGAGTGCTCTGAGCATCGGCAGTTTATTTAGAACAGGTAAAGATGAGATTTGAAATAGCATTTGAAGTATTTAAGTTCGTTAATCAGCCCCGAATATGGTTCAGCACCCAGTAGTACTGTTTGACATGACGACCCTATGTTAAGAAGAGTTTCAACATCATGCTCATCTATGTCTATCGAGTTGGTATGTGCTGTTTTCGGTGAAGAATTAAGCTTTGAAGTACTGGATTCGCTACAGGCTAAGGCATTTTTATTTTTAGTTAAACTGGAAACGTGGGTAGTGATCCTTATTTGACCTAAACTTGTGCATGTATCAAGTGTGCTTAATGGATGCGGGTGCACCAGACTGTTCTTGTATTCATGTAAGGGGGCAGCCAGCACTAGCGGTTTAGGAGTGTTAACATTGCTGCTTGCAATGTCCTATTATTTATTCCAAAATTAGGCTGTGTGACAATTTTATGCGCGCCTTTCTATGACTGTCTTGTCCACCGCAACCTTTATTAGTTTGTGGTTTCTGGCTTGCGATTGGGTGTGTCGGGAATGGATGAATTTTCTGGCCTCTGCCGGTGTTTCGAACTCAAAACGAATAGGACAACACTTTTCTTGTTGACTCTTCTTCAGCCTATAGCACTTAGTACTGGAGTTGGGCATTTTCGCCTCACTAAGTAAGATGCACTGTACTCTTTTTAGTGCCTCATTGTCCGGAACGTTGTAGACGATAGCATTTAGTTTAGCGTCGAGTCGTTTTGTTACTTCTGTGGTAACAAAGTTAATGAGGTTATCTACTTTAGATACGGATTCTGTGTCAAGTTTTTAAGGTCCACTGTTTTCATAAGGATACTTAGAGGTGTCAGTTCACAGACCTGCGATCCGATATGGCTGATCTGATCTGATAATTTGGATATTTTGGTATTGGTTTCAGAAATTTCAGGATTTACTGACTTATTGTTTTTTATTTCTCTTAACTCAGCCTTAAGTTCTGCCATAGACAACTTTAGAAGTTCTATGTCTGAAGATAGTACTGAAACAGAGCTTGAAGACTGGGGCTTTTCGATAAGCACATAAGGTGTAGGGAGGGTTTCTGTATAAGCAGACGGTACTGAATGTTTAGGAATAGTGCTAATACTAGCTGTCAGTACAGTTTTATCCTCAGTTCCAGCTCGACGCTTACGACATACAGGTGAGTTATGTGGCTCACTACAACCGTTTGTAGGGAGTGTGTTGCTTGATGTAGCAATCAAGGACGTGAAATTAGTCATCAGTTTTATAGGGCATTGAGTTCGTTGCTTTTTACTTTGATTAACCATAACTATTTGATACGAGAGTTAATGGTTACAAGTACGGGAGTAGTATAGTACTTGTTCAAGGATTACAACAAGATAAATTTTATGTGATGAATCACGCAAAACGTAACGCAAACGTTGAACGTACTGCGATGCAGCAATGCCGACTGGTTACCAACCAAAAAAGTAAAAAGACAGTTTTTATTCCTTTAAAAAATACACAAAACCATTACACACATTTTTTGACAGTATTCTTACATATACCAGCTTTCGGTGAAAAAGAATCAGTAGATTTTAGACATATTTTCTGCCACTCATTCGTTCCATAGTTTTGCCCAAATTTTTCACGGATAAGCGCCACAAGCCCATCCTTCTGAGCTCCTTAATCACTACAGCATATGAGCGGCCATTGTCAGCTTGATAATCATTCATTGAGTAACACGTAAAAGTCTAGAAGCTCTTGATAAGTGCTAAATGTCGCGAATAAATAATGATGAATCCGGTCCATCCGGTGGAGATTTGAAAGAATGAACCAACCTTCTGCTGCGATAACACATCTATAACGGCAATATTAGTGTCAAAACAACTTGGTGAATCAACAGAAACGCTTATGTGTCGCCAATCGCCTGGCAGGAGGAAAATACTAGAAAATTAGGAGCAGATACGTGGTTGCAAATTTAGACACTATGTCCTAAATGAAGAAAGTTCGGTAAGACATAGGCGAGAGTTTGAAGTGCATGTTCAGTCGTCCAGGTGTATATATGGTCCCTTAGAAGTAAAATTAGCATGGAAGTATTGACTGCCTAACCATCCTAACAATTATAGAATGGTAGACCGTAGATTTGTGTGTATCTGAAGACATTCACCTGAAGACTGTAACCCAATATACGGAAGTACAGAAGTGATGACTAGCTATTTAATAAAGGGACATGCTGTAGTTACAACGAAAATATATATCCATATTAGTAAGGGATATAATGGTACATACTCAATCATTCACTTATAAATCCATAAATGCCTGAAAAACTAAAACTGCGTTGTGAAAAACAATGCTACATTATTAATCGACATACTATTGCGTACGCGCTAACACTTATCTCTTACAGAGAAAGTGATTTTAAATATCAAGATTTAAAAACGAGACAGAGTGGTATTCTATCTCTTGAAGTGAAAAGATGGTGACATACTTCCAGAAACTTTTTTAACTATGAAAACCCAAATATTTAGATCTGAACGTTGTGAACGGGTCAGCGAAACAAAAACTCAATACGTTTTTTATATGTGCTACCTAGATGAAGATAGATAGGAAGAAGGTAAAATCAAAAAAGATATTTTAAGTCAGTGGCGGAGGTAGAAGTGTTTATTACTAAAATCTGGATTCAGTCTACGTCGTTCACAGGAAATAATTTCATCGGAAAACTTTTGGGCTCATTATTTAACCTTGGGCCAATCGGTAAATGAACAGAATAGTTTATCGCCCACTGACCTAGCAAAGATTCACTGCGGTTAAAAATGTAAAACCATGTCTCTTCCCCTAATAAAGACGTCCGTCCTCCTGTCTTCTGCTGTCACATATTCATGTGTTTAGTGTACCCAGTTTTCTTGAGCCATGAGCCATCAAAGACTATGGTTCAACAACATCGATAGACGATTTAACGTGATGAAATCTGTGATGCTATGAATCGATATTAAACGATATCGAAAATATTAAGACACCCCAATGATGTCGGTGGGCAGCTAAAATTCCACACGTTTCTGTCAAACAAAAAATAAAATAAAATTTCAAATACCCGGAAATAAGTGGGGATAATTCCAACAAAACTGGCTGGAAATTCTGTCCTCAATAATCAGATGGAACAGAACACATTTCCTGCCGTTTCCTGTGAAGGCAAGCAGTCAGTTCAACACTCGACCTTGATTTCGCTCAAGAAAAATGTCAGCAACGAAAAAACACAATTGGTAATCACAAAGTAAAAATGCGTAGCATTAGGAATCGATGAAAGACCAGAAAATCAAGAGTGAACCAAGATGCGCAGATTGTAGATAGACTTTTAGAGGCTGAAGGTATTGACGTTCATAGATAGTACGAAGTGTACTAACGCAAGATTTAGTACCCACAACTTCCATAGTATTCGTTCTGTGTAGACCAAAGGCAAAGCAAAACACCAGAATCGACCGTCAAATTTCGAGTTATATTTCGGGACCAAATTGGAGTGCGAGATGATTGCTTAACTAACTAGGGATCTTGCACGAACGACCGAACGTGACAAAATGGAGTACCGAATGGCGTGGATGCTTGACCGGAGGCCTTCAGCTAAACAAGTTGACTTAAACAGTGAGGGTCAACATCCAGTGTTCAGTGAAGAATGCAGTGGCCAATAATTCTGGGGAATTACCTACCGCTACAGACTAGAGACATATCATAGGTGAAAGATACTAATCATTGCACCACTAAATACACTCAAGTAAATAATAGTAGTGTGAATCCATTATTCAAGGAGAATTTAGGGATCAGTCATTCGGCTACACAGATGAGAGAACTAGGTTATAGTTTGGGAGCAGAATTCGCGAAAATTTGAGGTTTGTTGTTAATACACTAATGAACATAATAGCTGTGTGTTTCTTCCATACGTTGTTTAACGAATCAAAAATGAAAAACATGGGAAACGGCAATCAACAGTTTATTTAATGGATGGGGCTGCTCAGTTTAGGTAAATACTTAGCTGCTGACAGACCACTAAAATGTTTGACTGTTTCACCTCCACTAGCGAACGTGGTAGAGCAATTGCTAGAAAACCAAAATATTGAAGTGTGATATCTAATGAAAAATGCAGCAACTGCAGCCACAAGTTGTCTATTTCAGATATTCCTATACTTTTTAGAAATATTGTCCTACTTTCTACACGTAGAGAAAATGTATGGACCCGATTAACCCCAAATGTCAGTGTTTCATTCAAGAGGCGACCAATAATTTGCACTCCAAATCCGTCACAATGACTTTCAAAGAGAGATTTTCTTGCTAGGAACCCGTAACAATTATCAACCTAGGATTTATTATCTGGAACTAAACAAATTGTAGTCGTCCATTCCATGTCAAGAAGTGCGTTTCTTACACTGAATCGAGACTCTTTCAGGCTGACACAAAATAACTTCAAATAAAAATATGTGGAGAATCAAGAGAATTGGTTCGAGACAGAGGAAGTACCGGCCTTTCTCGGAAACGGAAGTTTGATTTTTGATAAAATGCTGATGCTTTTATCGTCAACAAACAACATTGGTGCAGCATTTTGGACATGCTTTGCATTTGCAGTGCATTAGTGATTCTTGTGGTACCATTCTGTGGTGAATTTAGTCATTTATTTAATGGAGCTAGCAATACTGCGGCACTTTGTTTTACGCTACAAAGCTGTCAATCGTTGACCTAACGCGCGGTGAAGGAAGGTTTAGGCTTGAGGGTGTGAAATGGGTGTACCAAAGTTTTTCAGATGGATTAGTGCTCGATATCCTTGTATCAACCAAGTTCTGAGACCTGGAGAGGTTAGTTTGTACTCAATTTTGTTTGTTCCTGTGTTTAATGTATAATTACAAACCATACAAGTATGACCTAAATCCTCTCCGTAAAATGCAATGCAATAAGGAAGTAAAGCGAATTAAGAATAACATCCATTTTAAAATCTATATTCATTAGGTGAGGAGTAGGTGTGAAAAAACTCGGTTTAGTCTGAATAACTAGTGGGGAGTCATCCATATTAACCATGGTTGATATGGATGTGATTGCAATCACGTTATGTACCATGGTTCACGGTTGAAAAAACATTATCAATGGGTTGCAATCCAAGCTTTTTTACCTCATTTCCTCTTATGCAATATTCACTTTAGGTTAACCTCAAAGGTCTGCGAATCCACCTAGTTATCGTGTTATTGCTGACTATAAGGTGGTTTGGTGGTTTGCTATGATTTATCCTCGTTCATTTCTGTGGTGCTTCAGCTGACTAGATGTTTGGGTTTTATAGCACTGCCCACATAAAACTCCCCACTGCCCCGAGACATCAAAAATAAGACCTGTTTAAACGGTAAGATAGCTGTTTAACACTTGCTTCCTTAAATATTTAGCAAAACGTTATGTGAAAAAGAGACATGGTGGCTTCTGTATGCCATGGTATTGGCTTTTTCCTACGTTACTCTACTTAGTACATCAGATCAACATTTTCCAGGATAGTTGTGCGAATAAGTATCAAAAAAGACACCTAGACATATTAATTCCCTACGGTTATCTTAGTAAATGCTTTTTACCATGTTTAAAAAATAGTTACTAACTGAGAATCGCGTTTCAGCAAAACGTAATTATGGTGTATATCTTCATTTGTAGTAGTAATGTAATTGAAAGTGTTCATTAGCTAATAAGCGTAGTTACCTGTCTGAAGCATCTTGAATACACTTCACATTAGGACAGTCTGCTTAATATTTCCATGTGGTTTTTCTTTGACAAATCGTCGTGGTGTACCGATAATACACACTTGAGACTAATGTGGAATAAGTGAAAATGTCAGCATTTTGACAATCAAAAAACTAGTGCGGAAGCGAAGATAACAATGTCACTAACTATTGCTAAGTGCTGTGCAGTATTTCTCAGGGTTCCTGGCTGACGTTCGTATGCAAAGCAATGCGGATGATGACAGTAAGCCATGGATAATTGTAGCACCGATTACATATAACTGGTTATTTCTCTATTTTCAAATATATTTGCTCTTAAGAACAAATAATTTTAAAGCAAAGGTAAATCATGAGTTACTCATATTTTGTGAATCTTAAAAGCATTAAGGTATATGGATGGATAGGTAACATCAGACTTCTGTTGAAGCTTAGCAAGGAAAAGTGACAAAAGGCAAATGAATGAAACAATCTCTGGGAAAAGTGGCGCTATAATTAGCTCTCGGTAGACTACTGGAACGTTGGAAAGAACAATTTGAGGAGCAATTTAATTGGCCTACAGTCACACTCAACTTACCCAGCATACAACACCAACCTGAGTAGAATGTAGACACCAGTCCTTCAACTATAACTGAGGTTACAAAGGTTTTCTGTAGTCCGAGACGTGGCCAAGCAGCAGGGCCTAATGGAATAACTCCATAGTTGTGTAAGGACATAGGTGACAAACTGCTGTCTGGGTTAACTAAGGTATTAGGCAATGTCTGGGAATCACTCTAGACTGGCGTAAGTCATTGATGATTCCAGCATACAAGAAAGGAGACAAGAGTTCCTGTGATTAGCTCGACTAATATGGTAAAGTTCTAGTCTCAATAATCATGCAAAAATCAACTGGTGCTCGGGAGAAACACGGGAAAACCAGGCGTTCTAGACGAGGTAGGAGGTGTATTGATCATGTCTTTACACTTTGACAGATTCTGGAACATAGGCATATTTACAGGCGTCCAACAACTGCCATATTTCTGGGTCTGTAGGCGGAATTCGGCTCCGTCAACCCATAGGTACTTTGACAATGCTTGACCGTGAGGGGAGTGCCGCGACAGTACATTGTGCTAATCATGCAACCATGTGAGAGCCTACGAAGAGTTGTCTTCTGAAGTGGTGACAACCAGTGTTATCCATCAGGGATACCCACCACTATCCCCATTTCTGTTTAATTTCATAAATGTACTAATGGACTTAACGCTAACTGACTTCAGCGACTCAGGGATTGACTTCTTGCCAGGGAATAATAGCCTCATTGACTTAGAATATGCAGGTAATATAGTCCTTCTATATGAAGACACTGACAAAATGCAGAGTCTTCTGAACACCTTGAGCAGTAATCTTCGAATGTTTGGCATGCGATGGAAGATGATGCTTCAGAACTGGGCTACACTGACTCCTAGCTTAGAAATTGGGATTGAAGTGGTGGAGCGTGTTGACTACTTCACTTAGTTGTGGAGTTGCATCAGCCAGTGCCAGCTGACGAAGTCTCAGGACGGATAGAGGGCTGGTTTGGCATATGCCAACTTAAGCTACCTGTGGCGTAGACTTGACATCCGACTATCGACTATATCCACTAAACCCCATTATTTTCTGTGTCGCTATTCTTCATCACATATCTGCTTGTTATCGTTCTCTCGAATCTCTTCTTTTTTCTATTTTGTCTTTTGTTTGCTGCATGGAGTGTAGTAACTCCAAATGCTACATTTCTGTTCATTTGTTCAGTGTTAAAACCAGTCTATCATGTGGATGTATATTTAGCGTCATACTACTGGTGTTATAAATTTAACGTTTACTCTTTGCTGTCGTTAGTTCAGCTTAAGGTGACTAAGAATCAGTCTACTAGATTTAACCCTAGTTTGCATTCCTGTTTCACTAACTTCGGTATGTTTGCATGCTCAGCAAATAACTCAGGTCATAAAGTCATACGCTTACAGGTTATACAAGCTAACTATAAACTGAAAATATAATGTAACCCATTATTATGCAGTATTTCAGTCAAATAGGATTGTTAGTTCATAGCGGATTGCTCACAATTTCTTATTGTTAATAACAGCTTGTTAAAACCCACTGACTTAAACGAGGTAAAGCCATGCTCCGTAGGCTCAGAAATAAAATGTAGCGAAATGTGATGAAACTAATGAACTATGTATTAGACAAAATGACTCAATAATGATGGGCGATTTTCAGAATATGAAAGGTGGTAAGAAGTAAGTACGTCTGCTCGTTATAAAGGATTTTAAACCACATGATGAAGGACTGCCAGATACTGATTTATGGCTACGCAGTCTGTCTTTCAGTTTAACTTAGATGAGGGATCATTCAATTTGTGGAATGATGCCACGTCTGATTTTTCATTAATGCTTCTACAGCCTAACCACACGTCAAGTAGGCGATTTGACAAGTGTGTCCTAGTTATTTCGGTGGATAATTTCCCATCCCTATATGCTTACTTTTCCTTCTAGTCGGACGCTACACCCAACCTCATTATTACTTATCATTTTAAACTTTTCATCATCGGTTTCTGTTAGCTTTTGACTGCACCTCTGCAGCTGTCTTTAACTACGTTTTTAAAGATGCCATATTTCTTTAGGATGAGTCCCTGTCGTGCTCATGTGAATACTTCGTTTTCTGTCTAGATATAAACCCCTTGTTCACTCACATATAAGTGCTAACATTAAATGCTTGCTTAGTTTTTACAGTCAGTTATAGGCACTTACGTAGATAGAACAGTTCATAATCGGAGTCCCATGCAGGTATTCCAGTAACAGTAGTCATCTTCCACCAATCGTCCTCATAGGTGAATACCAGTAAATTTTTCTGTGTTCATTAGTAGTGTGATGTCTTTGGTCATTAAATTCAACAATTCCTGTCTTAGTCAGTAATCTGTAATTATCTAGAAAAAAGGTAAGAGACAGTCATCGTTGTTGGTTCGTGGACATTTGACTGCGTAAATATGCTTTAACATCTTGCACTTTATTGTCAACTAATCCCGCCCTTCTACAAGAATTGAGATTGGTTATAATAGGTTTTAACTGCAAACTTCATATGTAGTTGAAATGAACAAGAACAAACAAAAACAGGCCATGTGTGACCGGCCTCAAGCAGTTGTCCCCTGGGCTCTGCGGTCACGCAACCAACTTCCACGGTGTGGGCAGCCGGGAAGTAACAATCGCCCTCACAATCCGAAGTGCACGCGAAACCTCTCTAATCCTCACTCATCTTTGTCTTCATCTTCATCTCTATTATCTTGCCTTCCTTCTACCAATGCAACTCCTCTACTTGATGGCTCTTCACTCTGTGTGCACTGAAAACGACGGAAACCAAAAAATCACCATGTAGTTGAGTGCTCAGCAGACATTGTTTACCATGTTCCACTCGAAATGAATACTACTGCTACTGCTAATACTGACTAACAATAATAGGTAGTCAAGTACTGTGCTTCGTATAATTAACGCTTGGTGTAGATTTACATTCAGTACGTGTTCATATGATCTAAATTAATCCATAAACTAACTTTCAGTTTCATTGCATTAAATCCTTCCTAGGAAGGTACATTATATTCACAGATTTACTCTTAACTTACTATCTTTCTTGTTAAAGGTTCCAGTTATCGATCACTTTTATTTGGATATGAATGGCATATTGCATACCTGTTCACACCCAGAAGGCAGTAAGAAATCGATTTCGGAAGAGGCGATTTTAAGGAATATTACTCTTTACATTCAGGTAAATGTGTTGTGTTTCTTTTAATTCCCTTTTAGTTTTTGTTTAACCTCATTAAACCACGTAAAACTTTCTTTATGGCTGTTGACGGTGTTGCTCCCAGAGCTAAGATGACACAACAGCGTGCTCGTCGCTTTCAGTAAGTCCCTCTTCCAATGTGTATCATATAAATATCTGTAAACGGTTATTTTAATTCATCTTAACTTTGTTTTACAGATCTGCTTTAGAAGGGCGTATAGCTAAGGAAAACTCAAAGGATAAGTCATCCGACGGTGAACATTTTGACCCATGTTTAATTTCGCCAGGTATGTCGACATTGTTGGTATTGATGCATCATTGCTAAAAAAGGTTCCATTTCTATATTGTATTCCCACTTCATTGTATTGTATTGATCAGCCTGGCTGATATACGTTTTTGTTCCATTCTTGTTGAATCATCGCATGATATGAACGGTTTTTTATGCAGTTAGCTAAGGACTAGATGTTACACTTGTATTTCGTCAAATTTTAATATAAGTGTAGGACTCAAGCACTGTGGTAGAATGTAATTCGATATTAGAATATCCCACTAGGCCAGAAGGGGTCATGGGGTAGAATTATGATGTACACCAGGTTGGAGGTGAGAACAGTTACTCACCGAAGACATTTCGAAGTGGTCACGCTATGTCGTGAATTGGCAGAAGTTACAATTCATGGGCTGGAGCATCCAGCTCAGAGGACACAACCACACCAAAATAATGGGAGCATGAAATGCAACTAAAGTATTTGTGATTATAATCATAATGAAATGCCAAGTGGCAAAACAGTTATATAGAATAATTCATAAGATGTTCGGAAGGGATGTCTAATTATAGGGTTGGTAGGCTTATTGCTTATTGATTCATTTGAACACAAAAACTTGGTACTATATGGCGCCACAATAATAACAAACCGACAGATTAAAAGTAAAAATATAGGTGGAGAACGGATAAAGAACTTCATCTCGAAGAAAAACAGACATGCTTAACAAGTTCAAACAACATTCGTCAGTTATCGTCGGGAAGGGAAGAAAGAAGGGAATTGCAGCACGTTCACCATTGATTACGATTCTTGGCCATATCCGATAACGTTTTGAGCCATCTATTCGATCTATCTCTCGGACTCTAACCAGGGACCAGGGAGTCATGACACACCAACCGATGCTAATCTAGCACAAATATCCTTCATCACACGATGCCACGTCATGGACTGACCACCTCTCCGCTTTTCCCATCCCGTCCTAGGGCTAGCGAACAGAGGCCTGCACGAAAGCCTCTGGGATGACATTCGCAGCACATGTCCGAGCTACAGAAGCTGGTGTTTCCAGATGATGATACACAACGAATAGTGATCTCCACTGTGTCCAAACATACGCCGCCGAACCTCACAATTACTCACGTGGTGATGCCACCGAACACAATCAATCCTACGAAGACAGTGATGATCGAATACGCAGAGCCGCCGCACATCCTCAGCTCGGAGAGACCAGGTTTCACAGGCGTAGAGCAAGACAACCCACACCGAAGCATTGTATGCCCAACCTTTGCCAGCCAGGGTAATGTCGCGACTGCGCCAAAGGTGGTTCAAGTTGATGTATGCCACCCTAGCTTTCATGATACGATTGTAAATCTCATCCGTCACCCCTCTGCCAGCACTTATACAACTGCCCGGATACACAAACTTACCAACAAATTCAAGCGGTTCACCTGCAAGAGTGATTGCAGGTACAGGCCCCTGCCAATCTTGTAACAGTACTTTGCACTTAGACGGTGCAAAATACATATCATACTTACAGACACTGGTCGCCAACTGATTAAGTGCGATTTGAGCAGCCTGCATGCTATCGCACAGTGAGACGACGTCTTCTGCATACTCGAGGTCGAAAAGTCTCTCTCCAGGGAGCAGATCTACACCGCCTTCACGCAGGTCCTTCAGAGCTGATTCCAGAATTTAATTTTACTATAGCTTGACTCCACACAGTATTTTTGATTCGAGTATGGAATTTTCAGCATGTGATATCGGCAGCCCAAATTTTGCAGGCCAACCACTGACATCAGGTGTGCGTCGTCCGGGGACCGAACCCCGGACCATGTGCATGGTCGGCGAGCGTTCTAACCGCTGTGCCACCGATGCACAGAGTTGAGGAGAAATGGCGAGATCGGGCAACCCTGTCTAACCTCACTGTTGGTTGGGAACAGTGATGATAGTTGGTTGTATGCTGTCACTCTACCGGAGGTGTTTCTGCATAGGGCTTTCAAGATGTTAACAAGCTCCTCAGGTAGAACCCTCTCTAACAGACGGTTCTAGATCACAGTTCTGTTCAACGAATCGAAGGTAGCCATAATATCAGAAAACCTGCAATACGTGTGGCGACGAAGGATGAACACATGATCAATACATCCACGACCTGAACGAAAACCAGCCTGCTCTTCGTGAATCAATGCCTCACGTGTTTTGCACAGCCTGCTGAACAAGAGAGTAGCCAATATTTTAGACGCAACTGGTAGCCGACTGATACCCCTATGATTGTCACATGAGTTAAGTCGACCCTTTTTAAATATGAGGACGAATGATGGCACATTTCAGTCTCCCATACTCTCATGAATAATCCAGTTAAAGCCATTACAAGAGTCTCGCCACCATCTTTGAAAAGAGCCTGGGGTAGATTGTCTGGGCTGGGTGCCTAATGGCGTTTTAATACTTAGAGTCCCTTACGGAACTCCGCGTCGATTGGTGGGTCGGTACTAACCGACCAAAGAGCACTGGAGCTGGTAACAGTGGATACTGAAGCCGGTGTTCAGCCAAACTGCTTGCCAAAGTGCTCTGCCCGGCGTTCCAGGCGTTTTTTCAGAGTGGTAATTGACGTGTCATCTGCCTCACAGACTGTCTCGCTAACACCTTGTTTCTTGCTGCCGGTGGCTCGGATGAGCTGGAACAGCTTCAGACTGTTGCCAGATGCAGCAGCTGACCCCATCTCACACGCATGTTCTAACCACCAGGCTTCGCAGTCCTTACGTAAACACTGTTTCATCTTGCGCGGAAGCGCCTTTCGCACATATATATATGGTCTTTCTCATTTTTCATAACTTCCCAGTTTAAAGATAGGGTGTCAAGTGGTTGTCTGTCTGAGTACTTCACTTGGGAAGTTGTTTCTTCCGTAATGGACTAATTACTGATGTAGTCTCAGCACTCATACAAAAGGCTCGTGTGGTATTTGCCTACATACATCTCTCCCGTGTATATCCGGCTATCGATCAAAAGATATATGTACTACTCATTAGTACTCTGTGTCTTCCTTTTTGGGTGTGAGGCATGGTGGTCGTTGAAGGTAGAAGATGTGAGAAGACTACGATTTTTTGGATCATAAATGTTTACATTCTATCTTCCGTGTTAATTGGTATAATATAGTGAGAAATATTGAAGTTAGGCGCAGCGTGCTAGTTAAGAATGGGGAGTTAATCGATAAGATTGCGAAACCGCATCGTCTTAGTTGGCTAGGACACGTGTTTACACGTGCTGCGCCACTGTCTTCGTCTAGCAGTGTTAACTCGTATAGGAATTAGGTTACAAGAAAGTTAGAGGTAGTCGAATCAAAATCTAGCATCAGTCTATAAAGTTTTTGCCAGTTAGTTGGTTCTAGTTACGTAGGGTTTAAGTAGTAATGGCTTTTCGATATGTTTGAATTCTTTATTTATTTTTGTTGAGTTGGAAAAAAAATAAAGCGAAGCGAAGACACACGGGTTTCGTTATATGAGTTTGCAGTGAACCAACACATTCCAGTAATGGTTCATTACTCCATGCCGTTGTTGATGAGCCTGAGAAAAAGTTTACACGCTAACCGATCTGATTCTAGCGTTTTGATGGTTTGAAATATATTTCTTTGTAGAATTCTAATATTGGAGCAACTCTCACTCTATATCATCGTGTCACATGTGAAATTTTGAATGACAAGAAATTCTTCGATAATATTATTACTTGTATGTTTACATGATCGCATATACCCCATGTATCTATCTTTTCTAAATAAATTTTAATTCTAGGTACTGAATTTATGGAGCGATTACATCTTCATCTTGTTGCCTTTGTTGAAAACCATGTTAATCATGATGCTGACTGGCAGTGTATAGATGTAATCTATTCAGGACATGATGTGAGTCTCCCGTTGTATAGTCTATTAGCATCTACAACTCTCTAGTCATACCATCGTAGTTATAATTCATTATATTGATTCTCGGTAACTGTTGTAGTAAACCATTTATGTGTTGAAAAATAAGTCAGTGTATAATGTCATAATTTAAAGGCTTTACTAGTTGACATGAAATATTTCAGTTTTTCTTTTCTTGTGAAGCATTGATGTATTTGAATGCTCATGTGAAACTTGAAACATAATGCTGTATATACCATGTAAGTGGTATTGTGGTTACCGATATCGCTCAGGTGTCTTAAATTTGTTTTTTCTTGATGGTGGTAAAGTACTGCAATCGCTCCGTCTAGCTCCATGGTGCTGTGGTTCACTGGTGTAGACTATATTCCCAACTACTACGTCGCAGGTTATAACTCAACTCCACCTACGAAGGTTTGCGCAACCAGATAGTATTATTTGTCCTTAAACAATAGGTGCTGCCCATTTTCAGTTATGTGGAAGTGCAAGGGGTTATTAAGTAACATTTCTACATCTAGCTCCGGCGAAGTACAAGAATAGCGTCCCAGGCGTGCGAACGCTCAAATGACCTTGAACGCTTGCCAGTCGTTGGTTGAGGAAACTTACCATTATTCTAGTGCGAAAATGAACGGTGTTCATCTGCTGAGATGCAAATTTCATCCAGATCACGTTTTTCATTATTGCTTAGATAATGGATTAATAGGACGGACTCGGATATGTAGTTGTGGTGCTTCTATGAACCTTCGCGGACGAGCTAGAGCTAGAAACGTTTGGGTTCTGGGATTTTATGACACCCAGATTCGGAAAGGATTTATCGAACTTATTCCAGATAGGAGTGCTGATACACTCCTCCCTATTATTCAGAGGCTCGTCCTACCAGGCACCACCATTCACACGGATGAATGGGCAGGATATAACCGATTATCGGAATTGGGATATATACATCATCGAGTCAACCATTCGGATGACTTCGTCGACCCCAGAACCGGTACTCATACTAATTCAATCGAAGGTTTCTGAGGAAGACTAAAAAATAGAATCAGAGCTATCAACGGATCTCAAAACCAAGTCATTTTCAGTCATCTTGATGAATATATGTATAGAAATTGGTTTAATTTAAAAACTGAAACTCTTCATTATAATTGGGACATTTTTTATCTCATATTAGACAAAAATACCCTATTTAATGTTTTTTCTATGCTTTTTTATGTAAATATACGTAAATTTTTATGCAAAAGTCCTCCTTTTTTCTGAATGGTCGGCTCAAGGTCACTCGTGCGTTCGCATCCCTTGGGACTCTCTTGTAGAACTTTTCCCTAGCTCCATGGTGTTGCTTTCCTTAACTTCTGAACATTTGAGTAAATAGGTGGTTCTTATAGTGATTGTGTTGTGTGGGTATAAAGTGATCCAGTTTGATGGAGTAAAATGATTATACTCGACACCGAAAGACACATGAAATAAAATTCAATCTGAACGAAGAATATCCTTTTCAATAATTTCTCTTCTTCAGGTTCTTACAATTATAAAATGTAATATTTGTTGTCGTTACAATAATGGCCAGTTATGCGGTGGATACATTTTTTTAACGTAGAATAACAGATCAGTTATGGGGTGTCAAAATAAATAAATAGTCGTATTTGTGTGACAAACGTGCTAGACTGAAATCGATTACAAGATATTGTAAAATGGGAGACAATGGTGGTGATTAGTCATAATAGATTTGTAGAGTGTGGGGTAGGGAAACTGACAAGTCAGTTCAAGGTTATAAAAGGTGTCAGGTGAGTGGCTAGTACAAATTGGTCTGTATTAAACAAGAGATAGTAAGACTTTAAAACAATTAGTCCCTTTTATAAATTTGGATAGCGTTATATATGTCCAAACCCAGTTCACTTTTAACAGTTTGAAAAAATTTGGGCATTGGGTATATGAAATTCATTATAAATAAAGGTTTTTGTATTTCCCAATGAATGAAGACGGAGATTATCTGAGAAATGTGATGTATTTGCGCTATACATTTCGAACAATCTGATCACACATTTACTTGTCAAGTCGATATATATGAAAAAATTAAGGGCAATTAAATTAAACAAAGTGACAAAAAAGGATTTAAGAATGATTAACACAACGTATGGTAATCCAATGAAATAAGGATTACCAAGGTAGGTTAAGAGTAATAATTAACTGTTTTTGAATACACAGGGGGACTTAAGTTTATGAATAGTTATAGTCTCGACGTGTTTCAATAAGCGCCCTTGACCGTTTTTATAGATGACCTTAAAGGCTGAGTTAACATCAATCTTATGGTTCATCTCGATTAGGTGTTAAGCTATAGACGAAGTTGGTAGTCTGAAACCTGCATCTATTGGTTTTTCAAAATTCATTTGTTTTTCTAACCATTTTGGGATATGCTCTCCCACCCTAAAATGCAAAGCACGATAGTAAGACTTCAATGAGAGGTTCATAATGAAATAGCGAATGTGTGAAATGAAACAGGTGGAGGCATATATTGAGAAAACGGATAATATCACTAATAATAAGTCCGGATAGTATAAATGGAAAATTCGATAGTATTGAGGGGATGTTTGCATGAAGGGCAGAAATTATGACGAATAATAATAATAATTGTAACAATAAGCAAAGGAAAAAAACCAAGAGGGTTGAGGGGAAGAAGCACTCTTGGTGAGAAGAAGAATCATCAATCCAAGTTTGGCCACGGTAGGAACAGCATCTGGACGTGTTCTTTTTGGATACAAAGTTCCGGTTTAGTCGATTTTATTGCAAAAGCTTCAGCTATGCTTAGGAGACGTAAGCGAACTGTACGTGATAACGACTTCGGAATTCGGTATATAACCCTGAAAGCTGTGTTGAAATCGATGTGCTTTCTAGTATAGACCAAGTGTGACAGGATCGAGCTTTTTATGCACTTAATTTCCCCTTGCTGAACCAAGCTGGTAAATGTCCTCTAACCCTTAGACGAACCTGCACAATCGTGCGCCCTATATAACTTGAACCACAAGAACAGTTTAAATGGTATATGCATGAAGAAGAGCTAAGGTTAGTTAAGACATCTTTGAGTTGCTGGGTGAACACTGAACGGCTACTGAAGGATAGACACAGACGTGCAGAGTAGAAAGTTTTCTTGATCGCCCTGGTTAAACGTTGCGATAGAATCTCCGCAGGGATATCTCCCTTGAATTGAAGACGTAAAAACAGAGGCTTTTTCTCCACCGTTGCCAGTTTGTGTTTACGACTATTGTAACCTGTGTTGGCTTTCATGAACTCTCGATATCCGTTCTCGCCTAAAATGTCTCGGATGACCTGGAGTTCTTTCTCTACGCAGTCTTCGGAACAAATGAACCTCGCTCTAAATGCTAAGCACCTGATCAGATTACGTTTGTATTTCATTGGTACGAAGCTAAGGAAGTGTGTATACTGAGCTTTGGTTTCTAGCTTTCTAAATATGGTTCTTTTGACGGAACCGTCCTCTCTTCTCGGTAGTAGGACGTCGAGGAAGTGTAGAGAGTCGTTGTCTCCCATTTTACAATATTTTGTAGTCGATTTCAGTCTAGCACGTTTGTCACACAAATACGACTATTTATTTATTTTGACACCCCATAACTGATCTGTTATTCTACGTTAAAAAAATGTATCCACCGCATAACTGGCCATTATTGTAACGACAACAAATATTACATTTTATAATTGCAAGAACCTGAAGAGGAGAAATTATTGAAAAGGATATTCTTCGTTCAGATTGACTTTTAATTCATGATATGGGAATATTTCACACTATTAAATCTTATAATATACATGAAATAGTTCAAAAACGAAATGTTTTGTTTTGAGTGTCACCAAGTAAAACAGGTCGAAAAAGAAATATCATGTGTTTAAATAGGTAGGAAAATTAACTACTTGATCATTTGAAATTTCAATCACACGTCAACTGTTAAATAGGTAAATAGGTTGTGAGGGAGACAGTTAAAAGCTAATTAAAACATGATCTAAGATTATTGCGTTATTTCATATATGAGATAAGCTATTAAGGTAGTCGAAAAGTGGTGAAAATAAAGGCTAGATTTTGATGTCCTTATGGTAACGGTGTTCTTAAAGTAAACCATTTTCTTCTTTACAATTTTCTTACTGTACATTTTACATGCACACTTGAGTCAAAACTGATCGGAATTGAGTTTCATCTCAGGATATATGCCTCGATAGTTCACTACTCTAATTAGTAAGATGAGTGTTCACATGTGGAATTGAATTTTTATATTCTTAGGTGTTGTGATCAGAAGCAAAGCGTACAATAGTTTGTCTAAATAATCTGGCATGTTTGTCTGTTTATTAAGTGCATACAACGTAGTTCCTTTTAAAAAAAAAAACTATGATTCATTTGTACAAGCATTAAACCTTTCAACCGTTAGGCTGCAATTTCCCAGTTCTTACAGTTGCCTGGCTGATCGCTTTAAGACATTCATTATTTCATCTATAATATTTAAATTACTTCCCTTGTGAAACAAAAATATTTCCAACTTTTATATATTTACAAGTGTCCAGGAGAAGGGGAGCATAAAATTCGAGAATACATGGCATATCGTCGTAGTTCACCGGATTATCAACCCAATGAACGGCATTGTATATACGGAATGGATGCTGATTTAGTGAGTTTTATGGCTGAGAGATATTTTCTGGTTTCATTCATCATTTTTTATTCTTTCTTATTATTAGAGGTAAGAATTTCATTGGTGTCTTGTCTTATGTTGACCACATAGAATGTAAATGCTGGATTCATCTGTATGTTGGGTGTAGTCTCATGGTCTTTTAAGTCCCAAATGAAACACATGATCTATGTTACAACGCCAACTAACACTAACACCACTATGTCAAGTAGTAGTTACTGCTAATAGGTTAATAATCGACGTTCTAAAAAATTCAGTCCTAATCTGATATGATATTTAGATTTAGTGATAGACGGAAAGGCGGATAAAAATTGAGAACAGCTCAGTGTAATATTGTATGCAAAGTAGTGGCTTACTGGTTGATCACTGATTTTTTTTTTCCATTCATTTGCGTTCCAAGCGGAGCATAAGGACTTCAAACTTGGGCTTTGAAGTCTCTGTACTAGTGGTAACTTCTTACGAGTAAGATTGCTAGCCTAACTCCCAACGTTTCCTGTTTCTCAGACTTACTGCCGGCCATGTGAGGTTTAGAAGTGCATCGATGGAGATTCGAACCTCGACTACACGTGTGATAGGCAAACATTCTACAAGTGAACCATTGACGCACTGGTCAGATCATTAAGATAAACAATCATAAGCTTGTAATGCTGTAGTTAATTGTATTAGGCCTTCAACTTTCGAATTTTGTTTCATCTGTCATCATCTACTAGGTAGGCGTGGATGTGATCTAGTGCACTATTGCTTGCGTACTTAGCTGAGTATTTTTTTTTCATGTTACCGCGAACAATTTCACTTGCAAAGGTGTAATATCTGAGAACTTTGGTCTGTCTGTGTTCCTCTTCTGACGAAGCATAGTTGCTAAATGATACACCTGATAACTTAAAAATCATACCAAATAAAATGCATTCAAAAAATCTCTTCTAGCAGAGTGTTTTGCAATCCTACTCCTAGTGAAATCACATTCAGGCTAAGACAGTTTCTATAAGAAAGGAAAAAGCAGTCGATACCACTTAGCATTTAAATGTGAGTCTTCTTACAATAAATTATTTCTACGTGCTATATCGCCCTGATTGTAGCTAGCCTCCCTACTCTTGTATTCTACTGAAATTTATTTTAAGCGCATTAATAAGGTCAACAGCACTGTGCGTAACATAATATCATCTTGTTTTGATTTTGTTTTTCTTGTTTTTTTAGATATTCTTAGGCTTAACAACTCATGAAGTCAATTTGTGTATCTTACGCGAAAATGTTGTTAAAGCTCAGTAAGCTTCAAGTACACTAATGTGTATTCATTTTATTTATGTCCTATTTTAAACTGTATTATTTAAGAATATATTTTGAAGGTCGATCACAAACTGAGAGAGAGAGAACTACTGAAAACTAGGAAGTACTGTTTTGAAGACTCGTCAGCAGTCTGCATCCTTGAAAACATAAGGCATTGATCCCCGGGATTTTCAGCTGACACTAGGTCAGGCTTGTTGACCATTCAGCCAATAAGGCCGGAATTCAATAAACTGTGCATTCTAACTGTTGTCAATTCGTGATATATGGTGCAACAACCAACCAACAGTATTAGTGATTATTTGTCCTCTTACGAGACTTCGTAGACCCCTGTGGTCATTCATGGCTTCCGACTAGAATTCCAGGCAACTTCATCCTGGAGTCAGTCACTAGTGAGCATTAGATTCACTTTCAAATTCTGATATGCACTTCATGGTCAATCTTGACATCAACCAAATCTTTGCAAAGAAACATTTGAGAATATTTGTGATGTGTGCATTATTCGGTAAATCCAGTTCACTTAGTCTGTTGTTACTATCAAAGTAATAATACATTCAAAAAACGATTTTCTTAAATTTCAACTCCAAACTTTAATAATATCAAATGTTGTGTTAGAACTCACTTCAAAATTCCCTACTTTCACTTATTTCCATTTATTTCTCTAAGATATTTTGAATAATGGTTGCGTGTTCATCTCTTGAGTACCAGATTTTTCCAGGCAGCCTGAATGCAGTCAGTTTACGATACATGAAGTTGTGTAAACAAACATTTTTGTTTGATTGATACTTACTATCGGGCGGGCATTAAGTCTCAAGTGCGTGACTGTTTACTGAGACGTTATCGATTGTGGTTTAAAATCAAAATCATTTAAAGTATTAAATTCAAGTGTTTGCAAAGACTTGATTTGATTGGTTGCAGGGTTTTATCATAAGCTGACATGGATTGGAGAAACATTGGGAAACTTGAGAGTACCGAACAACTGTTTCTTCCTTGTTCGGGACTCTTCATCAGTACGTACCCACCCATCACAGCATTACAGTTCTTTTTCTTTCTGCTTATCAGTTGAAAACTTACACTGGTATATTTGCATGTTTTTCGTCACAGTTTAAGATGCAATAATCAGTCTTAGTTATTTTGATTTCAGTTGTTGGACTTCGTCATGAATCAGCATCACTTAAAGGGACCACTGGAAACTAGAGAGCTTTAGATAGCCGTTTTGTCCTCATAAGTGCACACCCGTAACTTCACCAGGCTGCGAACCCGGAACCTTCATGTTACGAGGCCAAGCTTGTTTGACAATTCAGCCATTTGGGTCGGAATTCTATGACCCGTGAATTCTAACTTATTTCTCGCTATATCACGAACAGGCAGGCCCCGGGTTTAACTTCTGGTGAGATGGTGGGCGCACACTGATGAAGAGTTCCAAAGTAGGACGGAACAGCTGTCTAGTGCTCCCTGGTTTTCAATGATCTTTCTAAGTGATGTTGGTTCTTGACCAAAATATAACAATTGAAATTAAATTAATCTAAATCCCCACAAATCTTACTATCTAAATTGCAGTTAAGTAATAGCTTTAAGGAGTTAGAAAAACAAGCGAACAAATAAAAACAGTAGAAATTAACAAGCTTGTTACCATAATAGTAGAACTTGTTGAATAATTTTCCATACACAGCTTCCGTTATTCTCACTGAATCGATAAAGCTTCAGAAATGCAAAGAAGACGAAAGCCAATCGTCCTTGTCAGGTTGCTCTTCATTCTGTAGCTTACTTTGAAGGAGGTGTTTGTTGAGATGGAGTCACTAGTGCGATTATCGCACTACTTCTTCTCTGCAACCATTCGAGATAGCGTTCTTAAACCTTTTTAGAACAGTGTACCCAGGGCCATAGCAGCAGGTGAGCTGATGTATACACATAGAAGTGGTGAGGTGCAAGATCGCACCAAGACTTCCGTTAACAAGTGGATGACTGGAGAACACCACTCTTAGCGTTGCTGCAATCAATGTTCTCAAAAATGCTGACATTTCTCTCTTAAGGGTATCTCAGGTGAAGTTTCTCGTGAAATCCAGGTTCACGTGATGTTATTTTATTGGAGAAAGTAATGATTTTTTCCTCTGCACTTTCGGTTTAATATTCTTGTCGATAAATTTTGGTGGGTATCTATTTGGGATGAAGGTTTCTTTCAGAAGATCTAGTTCTGCTTCTAGGGCTACAGATGCGTCGGATCCGAGTTTTTTACTTTTATTTTTTTTCGTTCACTTTCCCCAGTGGAACATAGGGCTTCAAGCTAGTGGCTTGGAGCGTCCTATCCGCTATGCCACCGACACCGAGTGGCATAGTATTTATTTAGATTCTGTTTTCGTTCAACAGGCACCCAACTATAGACCTCAGATGTATTTAGTATTCGGGGAAACTAGTTAAGATACAAGCTTTCAAGTATATTTTATTTGGTTTTTTGATTATTTCCAATTCTGTATTACAAGTCAATGGAATGACTTTCATCGTTTCCGTTTTTGTTTTATAGAAATTCCTCAGCAGATAATAAACCATTCTGTATTACCTATGTATCCGTTCTTCGTGAATACATAGATTTGGAGTTTATAGAATTAAAGGTTAGTGATCACTTTTCCCGCTTTAATGCTCACAATGTTATTGTTTATAATAATAATTATTATTATTCTTTTTTTACAAGAAATGATGCTCATGCGAACAACCTGATATATATATATATATATAAGCTTCATATCCGATGATTTATGCTACTAGATTTTTTAGATCTAAGTCTGCAATTCATTGATCGAAAGTGCTTAAATCGAAAGATTTAAACCTTCAAAAGTGATCATTGATTTAGATTGCTGAACAATTTGTAATCTTATAAAGTACAGTCAGTCGAGCTTCAAGTGTTTGAAATTCAATGCGTCTATTAGGTTGTGTTCATTGCCTTAGCTATAGATCTGCATGCCATGCTACACTGTGTTTCCTCTATAAGTGTACAAAACTTTTATTACTGATCTAGTAATCGTATTCTTGCCTAAAGGTCCATAATGCATGCAGTATCAAATGTGTTCTCTCCCTATATATATATATATATATATATATATATATATATATATATATATACGTAATTTCCAATAATTTAATTACATTCCTTTGAGTTCCTGGTGAACACATGGCATCAGACTAGAGCTCTGAAGTTTTGGCAGCAGTGGTTTTATTTTCACTGGGTGAGGTTGCTAGTCCCCACGTCCAACCTTCCCTCTTTGCCGGGCTTATTACTACTAGCTAAGGAAGGTTTGGGAGTGTGTCGGTTGGGGGTCGAACCCCGGACCACTTGAATAGCCAGCGAGTGTTCCACTTCTGCGCCACCGACACCCTGTTGATGTATTGTTGTCTCAGTATTTTCACAGTTGGCTGAATATGCTTCGTTTGTATACGATAACTGAAAATATAACCTATGTAATATATCTGTATTTTGTCCTATCTATATATAAGTACTGTCCATCATTAATTACTGTAGTTGATATATCTGTTAACAAAATTAATATCAGTTGTAATAAGGTATTATTAGACTTCATATGACATACAATAGTGTTTTTAAATGACTCACTGTAATAAAAGTCAACCTACTGAATGACAATAAAAAGGATTCATGTGAGAATGATAATAGTGAATTAATTGCTAAAAATAGAAGCAAATGAGCAGGAAAAAGTTTAAGACCATGGTTGATTAAGAAACCACAAATCTTTGCTGTATACAACAATTTTAACCTCATCAAATTTCAAATCCATATTTCTACTGTGTCGTTGACTGCTACGTAAACGGATACTCCACACTCTACCTTGCTTCTCATCGATTAACAATTTTCATATAATGGAGAAAATTTTTTTAACTCAGATGGATGATTTCGGCATAATAGTTGTGTTCTCTGAACTGGACGGTTTAGTTGCGCTCAGAGAACACAACTATACTAAAATCAATTTTATCTCATAGTTCCCTTCAACAATGATTCAAAAGTAATAACTATTTATAGACCGTTTTTGGATGATGGAGGTTATCTGAAAAATGTGATGTATCTGCTCAATACATTTAGAACACTCTGATGCACACATATACCTGTCAAATCACTATGGATGAAAAAAAGCCAGTTAAAATAAAACAAAATGACGAGCGATTTAAGAATAAGAAGGATAATATTAAACACTACCTTCGCCAATATCATCAGATTCAGGATTATCAAAGTAGATGAAGGGTAGTAATTAATTATGGGTTTGTTCACGTATTGACTTTAGTTAGAGAACCATTGGAACTCGTGATCAAATCTGCAACCAGTCAAATCCCTGCAAACCAATACTTCATGATAATTGATTGTTTTACTGCAACCAGAGGGTAGGGACAGCCTAATTTTATGACTACCGTATTCCCGATACCTGAATCGATACCTTGTCTGGAAAATGAACTAATCAGTTGTCTTTCTTCACGCCTATATCATCGGCCATGTACACATTCCTTGTTTCTTTGTTCCTCCTCTTTCTCTCTCTCTCTCTCTCTCTATATATATATATATATATATATATATAATTTTCTTTCGTAAATATACTGTGTATACGTAAATGTAGCCGTTTACACTTTGTTCGCATAGGCAAGCGTTATACGTGATCACGTCTGTACTGTACCGGCATCTCCAATTCAATCCAACATTTCCCGAAATCTAAAATTTCAGTATACGTCCTTGACACGGTTTTCATAGACAGTCTTGAAAACCAACCCGCAATAATTTAGTGGATAGTGACTAGCAGTGGAATTCAGAATACGCCTTTCGTCGTATTTGGGAATCGTCAGCTGAATGTACATGGATTCTCCAGCCAGGGATATTGTTATCACTGAGGCTCGAACCCATTACCCACCGTTTCAAACACCGAGGCGTTATCCATTTGACCACTTGGGGCCCCAAGAGCCACCTCTTAAGCAACGGGCGTCAGTTATTATTTACCTTTAATTCATTTTTAACTTTCCCATCAACAAAGGCCAAACATTTTGGTCCAATCAATCAACGGGAAAGTTAAGATTGAATTGAAAATCTTGAAGACTGTTTTGGTATCAACCGTGTATGGTTAATATCAGTTAAATATTTCGCTATAGAAAAAGTTCTTCAGTTTGCTGACTGTGTGTTTATTGAAATTGCACAGTTCAATTGATTTTGTTTCATTTTTCATATAAATTGATTTGATTTGTTTCTCTAAGCTGAATCAAACAGGTTGTACATCACTGATGAGCTCTACTCCGAACGAGCGAAATAGCCACTGCGTGTTTAATTCACTTCTACCTGGCTAGCGCAACCATTACTGGTTGATATAAGTAGTCTACAACTACTCATCTTCATCAATCAGTAGTATATAGTTTCATACAATTATGCTTGCTTATCTGGTTACCTTCTATTTAAGGTAGTATCAAGTAGATCACACGTTGTGATCCGAACAACTTTGATTTACAAAGGAAACAGTAGTAAAATCTCACCTCGAACTGTGTAAATTTGCAAATTTCATTGTTCAGATTGTTCAACATGTACTGTGTAAATGCATCATATTTCTCAGGTAAACTTCGTCTTCTATCTAAAATTTGATATTAGTTACCGACTCATGCATGCGTTTTTAAGCAAAACAGGTTAGCTCCGATTGCAACCATTCACATTGTTTCTTCGCTTTTTTTGATATATTTCTGTCTGTTGTGTTGTATGTACGTAGGTATGTATGTGTGCACTTTTGCAGATATGCATTTTACTACTCAGAAATTGTCGATTACTGCCTGATTCGACTTTTCCGATGTCCATCATATTTTAATAAATTGCACTTTTAGACTTGATTGATAACTTGACTATACTTTTTATAAATCTAAGATTTCTTCAACTATATACAAATATATATAGATATATAGTTTGATTTGTATTTCATGTTCTTACAAATTGATTTGTTCACATTTTATTGTTTTTGTGAAATTGTTTTTTGTTGTTGTTGTTGTTTTTGTAAACAGACGATATTGCCATTCCCTTATAATCTGGAGCGTATAATTGATGATTGGGTTTTTATGGCTTTTCTTTTGGGAAATGATTTTATACCGCATATTCCTAATTTGCATATACACGCGGAATCATTATTAGTACTTTGGGATACTTATAAAGTTGTATTGCCGAAATTAGACGGTGAGTAGTAATAGTAGTAGTATAGTTTTATATTTCGTAATTTGTTTTAATTAAACATTTTATCTTTTCATGGATAATCCCCTTCCAGGCATCAATGAAAACAAAACACGTAGATCAGCGAAGAATCTCTTTTCGGCGAATTCATTTTCTTAGCTGTACAATCGCAAATATATATGTGTCATTTTGTATGTATGTGTACATTAAGTTTGTCAAACAAAATTACAATTGGTTATGGTTATTTTAACTAAACAGGTGAAGATTAGTAATACAAGTCAAGAAAAATTAGGTGTTAATGAAATTAGGGTAGTAACAAAGGTGATGAGTTGTCACAAACAGTTGTTAAAAGAAGTTATGTAATAATATGAATAGTTTGATGAGTGAGTTTTACTCAGGATGCACATAGGAACAAAGTAGATAATACGAAATTACGTAAGAGTTCTAAATGAATACAAGAATTATAAGCAATTAAAGAACAGGCAAAGAAACAAAATTAAGTCATCAAAATCAAAAAAGTTGTTACCAAGACAGTAGAAGTCGTTGAGTAATCCTCTTTTGAATGCACAGCTCCGGTTTTTCTATGTGAATGGCCAGAGCTTCAGCGATACAAAGAAGACGAAACCGTATTGCCTTTGGTAGGTTATTCTTGACTCTGTAGATTACTTTGAAGGAGGCGTTTGTTGAAATGGAATGGTCAGTGTTAACCAGGTGTTCAATTATCGCACTCCTTATTGCACCACTGTTGCCTTTTCGCAACCATGCTTGATAGTGTTCTTGAATCCTCTTGGACAGGGTGAGCGTCGAACGACCGATGTACCTTGCTCCACAGCAGCAGGTGAACTGATATATGCACATTTTATCATTGCGTCTATGAATGTATTCATACTTCTGCGTGTTTTGTCAATCCAATGCATATCTTTTAGTATGTCGGCAAATTTTCAGCGTTAGTGTGTGTTCATCTGCGTGTAATTTATAAATCCATGTAGTACTCAGTGTAATGATGATTAATTTGAAATGCCAGACAATGTGTCAACATGATGTATTATGCACGAAGCAGCGTTATTACAATGTAAATGTCTTTAACATAAAACAAAGTTGGTCTAAATTTCAATGATTCAAAGAGACTGTAATAGGCAGAAATTTACGGGAGAATAAATGATAACATGGGAAAACGTTAGAGTTTAATGCATATGGCAGATCACAAAAAGTGAAGTCATCTGCACCTTTGAACTATATCATCCATCAACAGTTCTCAGCCATTAGTTCTTAGAATCCCGAGGATTCCAACCAACAAATCTACACCTTCCTATGTTGCTCAAACTAACTGTCAAAAGGTTCATGGATTGATCCCACCTTTCGGTTTGACCATCCATAACTTTTGTCCAACCCAACCCTATGTCAGGTAGCACTGCTCAACTAGGAAGGCAGTAACTCGTGTTCTAGCCACTTTCAGAGGACACAGCGTCACATTGTCATCGATTAACTTCCCATGCTTATCTTGCACCCTACGCTTATCTTCAATATCACTCACTATATCACACCACTTAACACGGAAGATGGAATTCAAACAACCTTGGTCGAAACCAACTAGTCTTTTCATATATTCCACTTCCAATGACCATCTTTCACAGTTACAAAGAAAGACAGAGAGAACTGCTGGGCAGTAGACATGTAATTTGATCGATAAGCTGGATATCACGTCAAAGGAAGGAATGACGCAACTTGGCAAATGCCATATCACCCTTTTGCATTCGTCCTGAAGTTTCATTAGCGATCAGTCCATTGGGTCTAATGTAACTTCCCAAATAGGTGAAGAGGCCAATACGCTCTACCAATGTTATTTATTTATTTAAACACAGAAAAACTTGGTACAATATAGCATCAAGAAGATGCGCCACACAATAATAATAAAACAACATAGATTAAAAGTAAAAATATGGGTGGAGTACGGATAAAGAACTTCATCTCGAAGGAAAACAGACATACTTAACAAGTCTAAACAACATTCGTCAACTATCGTCGAGAAGCGAAGAAAGAAGGAAATTGCAGCACGTTCGCCATTGATTACGATTCCCGGCCATATCCGATAACGTTTCGAGCTATTTCTCGGACCCCAACTAGGGACCACTGAGTCATGACATACCAACCGATGCTAATCTAGCACGAATATCATTCATCCCACCTCTCCGCTTTTCCAATTCCGTTCTAGGGCTAGCGAACAGAGGCCTGTACGTAAGCCTCTGGGATGACATTCGCAGCACATGTCCGAGCTACAGAAGCTGGTGTTTCCAGATGATGACACTCAACGAATGGTGATCTCCACTGTGTTCAAACGCACGCCGCCGAACCTCACAATTACTCACGCGATGATGCCATCGAACAAAATCAATTCTGCGGAGACAGCGATGATTGAATACGCAGAGCCTCCGCACATCCTCAGCCCGTAGAGACCAGGTTTCACAGGCGTAGAGCAAGACAGCCCACACCGAAGCATTGTATACCCGACCTTTGACAGCCAGGCTAATGTCGCGACTGCCCCAAAGGTGGCTCAAGTTACCGTATGCCACCCTAGCTTTCATGATACGGTTGTAAATCTCATCCGCCAGCAGTCGCCACCATCTATATCATTGTACTCCCTATCTTCATGATGTTGTCAAGTATTCATTCGAATCAGAGAAAAACAATATCGGTACGATTTTTCAAGACTGAAAATAAACAGGTTATATACAATAGGTCAAAAATTCCTATTAAACCTCTTGTTGCAATCAGTAGTTAATAATCCCACTTTTATACAATCATGTTTAAGTAATGTTTAATATTATCAGAAGTGTGAGAAAATATATTGTATCAAAAAAATGTATGCAGAATCCATCGGAGTGTCTTTTCAAAAGATAAATATCCATAATTTGTGTAAAAATAATATGAAATATGACTCAATAAAAAAAATCAGTGTTTCTAAGGTGATGAAGTTGTTGCAGGGAGTAAATCCTTTAATGATGCAATAGTAAACACCTTATTTAGCGGTGAAACTTGTTTCACTGTGCTGACTGACATGGTCACTTGTGTACTTCTTGTTTCACGTGTATCTGTAGTTGCAGGCATATGTTTCAGTATCTTATATGGCTGTGTTGATCACGAATTGAAAAGGCATTTATTCAACAATACCACATGAATTTTTTTGTGTATACGAATAAGTTGATACATTGAAGTGGTTTTCCCAGTAATCTAATAATAATAGTAATAATAGCTTTATTGTAAACCGTACATTTGGTACAAATATGGAATTTCCAGTACAGTAGTATTTCATCTTTCTCATTATAGGAGTAACAATTAAAATGAGGGCATTTACACTAATAATATTGTTCAATAAGACAATGAATATAAAATTAAATTAAGTGAAAATACTAGCGACAATATTACAATGAAAAAAGTGAGGTCGTTTACTGAAAGTTCCACAATAAGTTGGTAATTTCCTGCCTTACACTTTTCTCATCACATAAAATGTGTGCTGAATAAGATATTGTAGAGTTTCTGTACTTAGTCGTCCAAGCATACAGTCTTCTTTGTTTGCTTTTAGTTCTACCCGATGATGGGATGCAAGGAAAGAGTTGTGTTGTGTATAGAGATGATGTTCAGAGTTTGACAGGATATTATCTGCTAATGTCTTACAGGAAACCATCTACAATAGTATTAACGAGTTAGTTTAGCAACACTTGATTCACCCTACTGATGGCTTTTATTGTCCTTTGCAGTATAAGTCTTTTTTAAGTAGCCCAGAAAAGATTAAGGGGGAGCATTAAAGAAGTATAGGCAGAATACAAGAGTTAACAAAACTTAGAAAGCAGAGACAGAATGAGACCAGATCGTCTTAACTTCCTTACACAGAACATCAAACGAAATATCTTTCTGGAAAACAACATGTGGGAAGACTGGGAAAGATCAGAGGAAATACACACAGTCCAAGGTATTTAACTTTCGATTTGATTTCAACTTCAGTGCCATCTATGACAGTGGAACCGTGAGAACTAACCAGTTTATGTAAGTCGCGCTTGCGTCTGAAAGTGAAGTTAACCACCTGACATTTGAAGAGATTAAGCTTAAGACCATTTGACGAGGACCACTGACCAATATCTGATAAAAATTTATTCATTTTGGAATAGTCTAACCGTTAAGGAACATGCGTAGAAACAGTCAAATTATCGGCATACTTAATAAAATTGGCTTCGTCAGAATGAGGCAAGTCATGTAAGAAGAAGAAAGAACAGTTCCTTAAGGAACAGTGAAGCAGTGAATGACTTCCGATTTTAAACAGTGCAACCATTTATTAATCTATCTATGCTTGTTTGTCGTTAAGCTATGTCGAATCAACTTAAGCCTTCACCTAAGAATAGTGACACCGATTTCTTATTCCTTTTGGAAATTTATGATATTTTCACAATGAATTTACTGTGTTTTCTCAGCTTCTATGTGCTGCATACCGCAGTTTGTGTTTATCTCTAACTGTGATTGTTGTCTTAAATGGTATGCTTCACTTATCGGTTTTGACTACACATGGTCGCTTCCGCTTAACTCTAGCACATGAAAAGATTAGCTGTCTTCGATCATAGGTGTCTGCGTTCTATCTCCCTAGTGAAGTGATATAATAAGGTGAGCAATATTGAGGTTAGGCGTCGAGTGCTAGATAAGGAGGGAAAATCAATCGACGAGGCTGTGAAGTTACATCGACTAAGATGGTAAGGACATGTATTACGTATGCCTAGTTATCGCCTTCCTCGACGGGCAATGTTAGCTGATATAGGGCCAGGCTGGAAAACAGCTAGCGGTGGTCAAACCAAAACATGACACCAGTTAATGAAATCCACAACAGTTACTCTAAGCCACGTAGGAAGGTGTAGACTTCCTGGTTGGGGTCCTCGGGACGGTAAAAATCAATGGTTGGAAACAATTGGTGAGATGGCTCAAAATCGTTCTCAGTGGCGCAGATGCATCCACTCCTTGTGACTTATGATTTCCAATTAAACTGTTTTGTTCTTCGTTATTACTATTCCTTTGTCTCACACCTCTGTTTACTGTCTATATTATGCATTTCTCCTACTTTCTTGTCTTGCTTTGTGTGCTACATGGAGTGTGGTGACTTGAACTGTCGCAGATATGTGCAAAGTTCTATGTCGAAAACAGACAGACGTAAAATATGCTTGTAGCTTTAACTGATTTGTACAATTAATGTAAAATGGAGTTGTATTTTTTAGTGCTTATCTTGAATATTTTTTATACACGTTTTCATCAAATTATTTTTATTTTTCAACGTTTTATTCCAGGCTATCTTGTGGAATATGGATATTTAAATCTGCCACGTTTTCACAAATACCTAGAAGAACTTTCACAGGTTAGTAAATATGAATTCACAATTGAGATACAAATTCATTTTGTATTATTTTATTGTGACATTCGTTTGTTATTTTGATGATAATAATAATAGTAATCACTTTATTCTAAACAATAATTTTTATACGAAACGAGATTTTCAGTATCATACGGATTGAGAAAAATTATCCCCCTTTACAAATAAATAAAAAAATGAACTGCAAAAGCTGCATGTAACAGAAGAATAAAATATATTATGATACTGGTAATCAGTTAATGTTGTGTCACCCATGCTAAATACGGTATGGTTGAATTCTTATATCTAGCTGTATTATTATTATTATTGCTCCCTTGGGTTCCTAGTGGAACATAGGGCTTCAACTACACGTCTCCACTTGCTTCTGTCTTCTGCTGTACTTTTCACCTGCATCCATTTTAGTTCATGCTGTTTCAGCTCCTCTTCACACGATCTCCTCCATGTCACCCTTGGATGTCCCACTCGCCGCTTCCCTTTCGGGTTCCACTCGAGCACTGGCCTGACACGCGATGTCAACCAGCGGCCTCCTCAGCTCAGCGAGTGTCCAATCCATCTCCACTTTCTCCTGCATATTTGTTGAGCGATTGGTTCTTGTTTTGTTTGTTCCCATAGTTTCTTGTTGGTGATTCTTTCCGGCCATTTGATCTTCAGTATAGAGCGAAGACAGTTGTTGATAAAGATCTGCAACCTGTTGGAAATATTCTTTGTGACCCGTATAGAGGAACTGACTTGACGTTTGTACTGAAAATCCGAATTTTGTTGTTGATGCTGAGTTGAGTGACGAAGATTTCCAGATTAGTTTCAGGTTGATGAATGTGTTTCTTGCCTTCCCGATTCGCCTTGTGTATATCCTTGTGTTTGAACACACTGCCACCAATCACCAAATCATTGAAGGCGCAGAAGTCTGCGAATAGTTCACCATTGTCGTTCATTTCACCGAGGGCCTCACGGCACATGGTGAGTTCTCTTCCTGTATTGTCTCCTCCCAGTTTCGCATACATATCACCCATCAGGATTCTGATATCGCCATTTGGGACGTTGTCCATTACTGTTTGTAGAAATCTTCCTTCTTCTCTTGTTGTGAGACGTTTGTAGGCGCGTAGCATTGAATGATTGTAACCCGCCTTCCTTTTGAGTTGAAGCTAGCTATCATTATCCTGGAGGAGATTGGTTCCCACTGCATGAGAGCTTTGGCTGCTGTTGGTGACATCATGATGGCCACTCCCTCGGTGTGCTCGTGGTTGTCCTCTGGGTGACCGGAATAGATTACTGTCCCTCTAGTTGAGGTTATATCTAGCTGTACAAGCATAAATTCTTACGAAGTATCTTCTGGTTTTACCCGAAGAGTTACAAGAAGAAAGATGCAAATAATGCGGATGTTCAGTATCCGAAAGAATAGCTTTGAAGAGAGCCTGTCTGTTCAACAACATTGTCTGTTAGTTGAGTCAATGGTACATCCCTAACTCTACACACACACATAGCCCGCAATACCCTATGTAATATAACATAGTCGTTTTTGCAAAGCTCAGAAAAGAATAAAAAGGAACAATACAGAAAAGTGGGTAGGATAAATCAAGTAATAAATTGCAAGTGAAAAGGTTGAGTTAGACCAGAAAGTCTGATGTTCTTTATATAATAATTGAGATTTTCCTAAAAATCAATAAAATATGAGACAATCAGTAAAAATTGGACAAGAAACTGATACCAAGATAGGTAATATTCAACTTATTTTCTAAAATAATGCCGTCAACATTCGAAGAATCATGAGATTGAATCAATTCACACAAGTCTTGTTCACATCTGAAATTAAAATTAACAGCCTGTCATTTAGAAGAGTCAAACTTAGGACCATTGGTTGGTTACCTCCAAATAGGAAATTATTCATGTCAGAAAAATCGAATTCAGAAGCAACCTTGGTAGGAACTGTCAGATCATGAGCATATTTAATAAAAGAATGCGGTAATTTATGCAAAAAGAACAAAAAAAGGAGATGGAGAAAGTATAGCAACTTGAGGAGTGGAAAGTTTCCTGGTAAAAATAGTGTGTCGATTCTAGCCGAAAAATAAGGAGAGAGACAGAGAGCCACCTTGTATATTTGGTATTTGTCACAACTAATTGCTTGCCTCAAATAATTTATGCATATATTGATCGATTGATTTTTGTTTAAAATGAACTCTGTGCAAGTATGTTAAAATTATTTTTGTAGATACATTTAATAATATCTTCGCCCTGTAAGCAGCTGACGAGAAGGCAATGAAATAAAAGATGGTGCCACTTTATTCTGCTAAAACTGTAGTTCTTGCTTTGTTCAAATTCATTAAGGGGAATAAAAGTATCAAATAATTTAGTCTGATAAAATAAATATGTTGTAACAACAAACTTCTTCAACTGTTTAATAAAGGTCCAACCGTAACATTTGTAAATGAGTCTTCAGATAATAATAATAATAAATGTAACTGTTTTCATTCATAAGAGGTGTTCACTGAATCGATCCATCTTGATGATTACATTTCGATCAGCACGTTTGACTAGGCAGCTACATTACTCTCTACTCCATGGTTCACTCTATCAAACTATCAGTTAGGATCTGAATAGCTGAGTGGCATTTACTAAGATACATTATCTGTGGTGTAGACGTGACATTAAGGTACTGATTAAAGGATGCATAAACTACCTAGAAGTTCGCTTTGCCCTCATTTTTGGCTGTGAGACATGAACAACATTGAAAGTGGGAAAGATGAGAAGACTAGCTGTCTTTGGCCACAGATGTTTGCGTCCTATCTTTTGTGTTAAGTAGTATTGAGGTTAAGCGCCGGGTGTTCGGCCGGGAGAGCCACTCAATCGATGAAGTTGTTAAGCAATGATACCTGACATAGGCTTAGGTTGGAAAAGAGTTAGAGATTGTCAAAACAAAACCTGGCATCAATGCATGAAGTCATTGGAGGTTTATTTGAGTCATATGAGGGGCCTTAAACTGCCTGGTTGGGGGTCTACGGGATTTTATGAACCAATGACCGAATGCTGTTGCTGATATGACTAAAAGTCGTTCTCAGTGGTACAGATGCAATTACTATTTGCAATGTTCCAGATTCATTAATTCATCGCACTTTTCTTTGTTACAATTATTCCTCCGGTGCATTATAATTCTTCCGAGTTTTTTCTCTTTTCCTTTCTTTATGTTCGAGTAATACATGAAATGTGACAACTTAAACTGTGGTGCATTTCTGTGCAAAGTAGTTTTACGTTGAAACTCAGTCAAAATAACCTAGTGGTTTGTATTAGTGTTAGTATTTCCCTTTTACTCTTATTGATTTTTAGTTTGAGCGTGATTGGTTTGAAGAACGTGAGGCAGCTTTTCATTGGATGCGTGGAAAACAGGGAGAACGAATGGCAAATGAGCTAGAAAATCTGGGGCAACCGACTCAGCGAAATCAATTTTCACAAAAGTCTACTGCTGCAGTTAAGAAAAATTTTCAAAATACGGCTAAAAGTGCCTCGGTAGATAAATCTAACGGTTAGTCACCCAATTGAATGAGTATTATTTTTGTGTGTTATTTTCCCCAACTACATTTCAGAGTGGAACTTTTAAATCTGCTATTGGAATATTGTAAAGTGGTTTGGTCATTAAACAATGTTAGTAAGGTAAAAACACAGGAATGCCTCTGCTCAAACTGCGAATTATCCTCGTTGTTAAAAATTATTTATCAAATATATCGTAACACCTTCAAGCTTTTATCCTTTAGAAATGAATTTTTCCTAGATTCCGATAACTGACAACAGGACCGAAGTTCCATGTAAATTCTTTGTTGTTAAAGACAGATTTGTGTTAAGTGCGTTGGTAGTTCACTGCCACTCATAATGTCTGGGTTCCATTCTTGACTGACCCTCTTCTAAACCTCGCCTAGCTTACTATCCGGTAGTAAACCCAGAAAAGAGGGAAAGTTGAGAGTGCGGCTACCAACACCATTGCTACTACAACTTGTGAGGTCCTATGTCTCACCCGGAACTCAAGGAATAAAAATAAGTAAAGTTCTAACACTGCATATATAACATAATTTTTGTTTATGAGTTATAAAAAAATGAGATTTGTCTTAAAATACTTAGGAGTATTGCTTATTTTCCTTAATTATTATTTTTATTTTATTCCTTTGCCTTCCTAATGGAACATAGGGGCTTCAAGCTAGAGCTTTGAAGTTTCACTAGCAGTGGTGTTACTTTTTTTAACGGGATGCAGTTGCTAGCCTCATACCCAATCTTCCCTCTTTACTGGGATTACTACTGACTAGACAAGGTAAATGAGTGCACCTGCTGGGGATCAAACCTTTGTACTACATGCATGGTTGACCAGCGTTGTACCACAGAACGATCGACGCAAATTTTCTTTAATTAAGTACTGTTTTTATGTATGATAAAGTTGATTGATGAAATCCAGTTTAAACCAAAGTCTTTCACTTCGCTTTTTTGGTGTTCTCAGGCTTCTGTATAACTCAACAGAATTGGATTTTTGTTTTCGGAATCATCAAATTTATGATACTCATAGGTTTTCAACAATTTGTTCTATTAATTATTTCATGGAGTTATAACGAGTTTGAAAGGGCCTTCGATAACGTCAACCGTCAAGTAATTTAGAAAGTGTTTAAAAACTATGGAGCATCCCAAACCTTTAAAAACTCCATTCAACAGTTATATGATGATGCTCCATGCTAAAGGATTAATTCAGATTGCAAAGCTGACCGGAGCGGTTGAAAGAAAGACAGTAGTAAGACTGAACTGTCTCCCATGATATTTCTGATTGTGATGTTCTGGATCATTCAATACAGCTTGGGGAGCGAGACGACGGGAATACGTTGAAACGACGAAAAGACACTGAAAGGTCTGAACTTCCCGGATGATCCATGTTTAATGTCACATAAACTTGAAGATCTACAGGTGAAAACCAACAATGTTGACAGAAGGCGTAGCGAAGACATGACTCCAAGTGGACATAGAGAAGACAAAGCACCAATCACCATCAACGGCAGGAATTCCAGGGAAGTCATTTCATTCACTCATCTAGACAGCATCGTTTCAAATACAAGTGGTATATATGAGGATATAAAGGCTGACCAGGATACAAATAGCAAGAAAGACCTTTATTAATCTTAAATCAATGTGGAAATCTACAACACTTAGGAACAAGATCCAGATTTTGAACATTGATGTCAGTTCTTCTACATATACGCGCCACCAAAAGCATTTCCAACAGAAAGGATAAGCCTAAAAACAACTCTGACAAGCAGCGAACTAACCAGGAACTTAACGCCCAACAAATACACAGAAGAAAATGGGTAATGAATTGGACATACACTGTGAAGATCATTGATTGACATCACACATCAGAATCTCGGATGGAATCCCAATACGGGGGTGGGGGGCAACGAGTTCGCTGAGGGCCTGAATATGACATGAAGGAGATCGAGTGGAGAGGAAATGAAGGCTTATGTATGGGCAGTCGTGAAAGAGACTGCATAGAACCAAATGAAATTTGCAATGTACTGTCTAAGCTGTATGTTCCACTCACAACCCAAGGGAATAATAATAATATAGCGGATTGAACTATGTATTTGATTTTTTTCTATAGTTTGGTTTGTAAGGGTTTGTTATGTTTTTACGAGTTGATCACGGACTGATATCAGTTAGAGGACCATTGAAAACCAGGAAGTACTGGACAGCTGCTGTTTCATCCTAGTTTGGGAATCGTCGGCAGTACGCACCCACTGGGATTCGAACCCAGGACCTTCCGGTTACAAGGCAAGCTCGTATACCATTCAGCCACTGGGACTCGATTCGATGGCTCATGGATTCTAACTCCTACCAAATCGTGATTTAGCGCGACCCCAACCATTGTCGTTGGTGGGACATCCATCCACACACGTGACATCTCATTGGACCTCACTGGTCACGACTTCTCACTAGAACTCCAGGAAACTCCATCCTGTAGCAAGTCACTAGCGAGCATCAGATTAATTTTTTTTCTATAGTTTGGTTTGTAAGGGTTTGTTATGTTTTTACGAGTTGATCACGGATTGATCTTTAATTAAAGCATTCAGTGTTAAGCGTTCAGTGATCTAACATTGAATTTTAGTTTTTCAAACCACAGTTATTGCACAATAATTCATATGTATACATATCAGTATATTATTATCATTAATTACTCTTAAATTTTTTAATATATTTTACTTTATTCTTCTTATTTCCAGGATTAGATCAATTAAATGATTTAATAGATTTATTTACACCATCATCAAATTCTCGATATGATAATGTGATATTAGATGAAGCAGCTGAATTAATGGAAGAAGGTGTTGTTGTCTCATTATTACCTCCGAAAAATAAGGACAACAATAATAATAATATTAATAATAATAAAAAATCAGCCAAGTTAACAAGGAGAATAAAGTTATCTAATAGTTTAATCAACATTGAAATAGGAGAGGATGTTGTTAATTTAGATAAACAGTCGAATAGTAATGATGATGATGATAATGAATTCAAAGAGATTGAAGACGAGGAGGCCACTGATGGTGATGAGGAGGAGGATTTTGCTGACGATGATCTTATTGAAGGAGATACAGATATAGATGAAGATTTGCTAGTTTATAAAATGCATCGACGTGATTACTACCTTTCTAAACTTGGTATACAAATTAATGAAGATGTAAATGATAATAAAGAGAATTCATCCTTGATGTCTTTAATACAAGATTATATTAAAATGTTACAATGGATATTAAATTATTATTTCCTGTGTATTGCTGATTGGGATTTTTTCTATGCATATCATTATGCACCATTTGCGCATGATCTTATTTTATTTACAAAAAAATATGAAAATATGCCAAATTTTGATAGTATTAAAATGGATTGGTCTAATTTTCAAATCAATTCACAACCAGTTCTACCATTTATTCAACAATTAATGATACTACCACCAGATTCAGCGTATATAGTACCCAAGCCGTATCGTGATCTAATGACCTCTTCATCATCTCCATTGGCTGAATTCTATCCAAAGGAATTTGAAACTGATATCAATGGGAAAGTATCGTCTTGGGAAGCTGTAGTAGTAAGTTGTCTATCTATTTGCCAGTCAATCTTCTGTTGAAGCATTGGTATTCACTATTAAAATTGCTCAATGTTATCTTCTGTTGAATTCCTTAGGTTCGTTTTTATTATCTTTTAGAATCCATTTATCCTCAGGTTGGTTGTTTCTCCCACCCATACTTATACTTGAAACAGACCTTTCACATACCAGCATATGAGCCACACTTATTATGCACTATTATTATTACTATTTCTCCCTTGGCTTCCATGTGCAGAAATATGGCTTCAGCAGCCCTTTTTAACTGACTGTGCACGATATACTACTAAAACTACTGCTACTACTACTCAGGTATCAGGGCTGAATTTCATGAAGCGGGATTCGAACCCGGGGCCTATCGTATGCAAGTCAATTGTTTGAGCCAGTAAACCGCATCGCTTATTCAAGATTACTGTCCATATCTGGATCATTCATTGTGCATTCAACTCAAATGATGATATAGCATTTGTACTGTAACAACAGAAGACAAGGGTCAGGCTACAGATCGTTTATTAAGGAAAATCAACACATATTTATAGATTTTAATGTACATTATTGTAGATTATTGTTAGTAGAAAATACAGTCTGTTGATTGGTTGTTTCTCACAGAAAGTTAACCTTGCATCTCTTTGTGGCTGTGTCAGGTCATCCATATGCTAACTATATCCGCCTATGGAAAGCCCTTTGTTCTCATTTTCTCACCACCAATATTGGGAACATAAACATTGACGTCAATTACTGTCTACCAACTTTGGCTAGCAGCCAGCTCTCACCACAGCACCATTCTATCTCTAATTCCTAACCTACTTTTTCGATTTGGTTAACTACTATCAAAGTGATACATATTATAATTCTCAAGTGTTTGTTTGCAGGGATCTGATTAGTTCCAAGTTAGATCATGGATTCACGTCAGTTAAACAACCATTGAAGACCAGGGAACACTCGACAGCCCTTTTGTTCTATTTTGGGACTCTTCGGTAATGCGAACCCATGATAGCCCCCCCCCCGTCGCCGCAGAGATCGGACCCGGGGTCTTCAGGTTACGAGACCAAACTCGTTGGCCACTCAGCCACTTGAGCTGACCCATGAATTCTAACTTTGTCAGCTATTGTATGATATAACTCTGCTCTCACCAATGCCTTCCACGAGCATCCACTTCATCTTGACATAGTGGACTCCACTGACCGTGACTTCCTATTGCAGATGGTTGTATATATTACAACTATTGTTCATGTACTTTATTCGGTTTACCGCATAGATGACGTTTTTTTATCAGAAAAATTATTCCCATAGTTCCAGTGTTAGATAGTTGATGTTGACTGTGTTATAGTGAGTGCATGTGAAGATAAATAAATTGGAAGATTTTAAACATTCTTCCAGACTATATCTATATATAATTTAATAATCCATTTATTTATGTATTAACAGTTAATTCCATTTCTGGATCAAGAACGCCTAATCAATGCAATGAAAGATTTTAATGATAAACTAACTACAGAAGAAAAAGAACGGAATCAGCATAAATCACACTTATTTTATCGTGCTTGTCCAATTGGTCGAGTAAAATCTCCAGTGGAATTAATCACCTATGATTTATATCGTAAATCTGTGAACTATAGTCAATCACAATTTATTGAATTTTATGCTACTTTAACTAGTCAATCTGTTGCTGAAGATTTTCCTAGTTTACATAGACTTCCATTTACTTATAAAATACAAAAAATACCAGTTCATGTAAGTAGGATGCTTTTTTTATTCAAATAATTATTTGAGTGGTTCAATAGTATTCAAGTTTAAAAAAGTCATTGTTTTATGCTTAAATTGTAACACAATGGGCAACAGTCACGCTATAAGTATAAAACTTCGACACTGTGGTAGAGTATAACTCCATTATGGATAAGATTTCATTTTGATAAATCACACAGTGTTACACAGTAATATTAACTGATAACGACGTTTTGAGCACAAGTTATTGCTCATAATCATATCAAGTTACTCACACAATTTTTTCCTTCATTTAAATACATGTGTGGAATTGACTAGATATTTGAATAAAAATCAATATGTGATAATGTACATTCAGAAATAATAATATGAGTGTTATTGATCAATTACAATCAGATGGGAAATAAGACAAGTGTTTTTATAGTCAAAATAAGTAACTTGTTAGAATGTTGTGATGTACGTGAATTGAAATAGAATTTTAAGATTATTTATTATCCTCCTCTGATTTGACTGGTGGTAATAATATCTCCCATATTTCTGGTATTTGCATTGAGTCATTTCTGTTGCGCTAGGGAAAAAAGTAGAACAAGAGCTCGGTAATAACCTGTATTTGGTACAATCGCAGAAATCAGAGAGCGCGAATCCAGACCTTACAAACAAACAGTCTAATTGTCATCATTGATATTGAGTCCTGATAGACGTTGTGCCTCTTGCTCCACGGGATAGAATCCTGGGTGTTTTTCGTGAAAGGGAGAAAAGAAAATAGTGTTAGGTACTTTATCTATAACAGTTTTTATTTTGTTACAAAATAACATCTACATATCGGCGGTTAGGCATATTTTACTACTTGTCGATAATTGAAAACTTATTTTTAAAAGAAAATAGAAATTGCTCACTCTTGAATGTGTTTCATTTCACTAAGTAACAATTTATTCTTGTTTAATTTTTTTTTACATTTCCTGTCGATTGATTATGTTGCACCGAAATGTTTGTTCTCTGTTGATCTGTCGTCGACTCCTACTAGTATGGAGGCTTTGATAATGCTTAGAGATTAACAACATGTTATGTTGATTGGTGGCAACTAGCAGTGGAATTCAGAATGTGCACTTCATTCTATTTTGTACTCGGCAAATGGATGTGCCTGCAATCCTCCAGTGAATAATGGTGTTCCCAATGAAACTCAAGCCCAGCAACCATCGTTTCAAACACCAAAGCATTATCTACTGGGCTAGGAGAACCACCTCTTGTGCAACTTGTATCAGTTATTATTATTATTGTTGTTGTTGTTTGAGTTAATTCATGTTTCGTAGGTTTCGAGTCCCTTTGGAAACATGATCACTCATTGGGCGGGGTAATGGGGATTGAAGTACGTCCAACTGACCAGCCCAAATCGGATGATATGCACCTTCTAGATTCCACTGCGATTCACTGTCAAAAAAATAACAGTTGTTGTTATTTATATTACAATAAGATGTTTTAATTTTATTTCTATTCATCTCTTATCTGAAAATTCTCACACAGAATAGAATTTAAAGGAAAAACTAACACTAATGATAGTTATTATTGTTCTCTTATGATTTTTTTTTTAAAAAAAACAAGGTTTTTGAAGTACCCAGTAAATTGGATAGTATGGCGTTAACTGTGAAACCTCATCAAGATTTATTGAAATATAATAGTCTTGGTGAATTAGCTGAAAATATTCTTTGTCGTCCAATTCGTGTTCGTTGGCCGTATTGTGCTATAGTAATGCCTGTCCGATTAATGAACAATAATGAAATGTAAGAGTTGGTTATATAAATATTTTATTTTATTTGTTTCATATTAAATGTTATGTCAATTATTATGTATCAGATTATTTTGTCATTTAAATTTATCATACACTGACAAGTAATATTTGATCTTCATATTTTATGTCGAGTAGTAGTAAAGTAGCTTTCATTTATGCATACAGTAGGGCAAACAGCTTAGCAAAAGTCTGTCCCTTGTTCATTTCTCGATGCCCTCTTGTTCTTCTGGGCATACATTTGGTCTCTTCATATGATGGCATTGATATGTTGTGGATCGACATCTTGTCTGGAAAAGGGACCAATTAAAGGTGTCATAGACGGGTGGGCAGGCAACCAATAGATTATTCCTTCTCACGCCTACGCCTTTAGCCCATGTATACATTCTTCATTCCTGGTTCACTACATATATATTGTTTCACTTCTTCGTGTGTTCTCGCTTAAGTAGCGGTCTGAGAAATCAGGTAGCTGTTGTATACGTCGTTGGTGTAGAAGAGCGACATTCGTGATCACTGTGTCTGTTACCAGCTCGGTGTCCCCATTCAACTCCAACGTTTTTCAAAATATAAAACTTATAGGTTACGTTCTTATTCCCTTCTCAAAGTAATTTCTGACCGTCGTGACTTGTCATTCATAAGCATCTTTAAATCATGTTTAAACGATTTTTAAAACGTTGGGTTGGAGATTGAAAATAAGTGGTTAAATTACGTCCAAGATCACTGGAAGATGTCATGAGTACCTCTGCTTCAAACAATAATATCGGATTGGATAAAATTTCTAAAAGTTTTCTACCTATTTTGAGTACTATTGACTCTGATCACTTCGTTAAAGGTTTGAATTAATCTACCAGCACTCAGATAATATTGTTAGTCTTTCCATTGACTGTATACTCCTTTTAATAGTATATATAACATAGTCTCCTGTGTGACCAATACTATACGATTTGTAACTTGCTTGATGAATACTGAAGTGAAGAGCTTTTACTTCATGAGACTGAACATTATTGAAAATTTGTCAATTTCTGGTTATCTGCTCAATAATCACACGGGGCAATCATCCGCAGTTCCAGTTTGTGTAGTTGGATTGGAAATTTTATAAGGATTTGACAACTTTCAAGTTGCATATATATGTCTGTTACTTCCATCTTTATAAGCCGAAAATTGACTTTTATAGGTGAGGTTGAGAATATTATTTCTTAATTTAAGACCTACAATATACTATGCTTTACAATGTAGTTTGAAGCAGTATCAACTTAATTTTTAAAAAAAGGAAGAATATGTGACCTCTAATTATCGATCTGGTGAGTGGAATCTAGAAGTCTGTCATCTTCGGGTTATTGGTAATTGAGGACCTAGAGTTACTTCATGATTTATTTACTGCCTACGACTTCCGGGATTCTGTCACCACTGAAATTATCACTCCTGTTCCATCGTCCTGTATTTGTTCTTGTTTCCTATAGTTCCCTTTTTCTAAAGTGTTGTGGAATTTGAATCGGTTCTTTCAGTTGTTCTTTTCGTCTGTCTGTCGGTTTCGGATCACTCCGCGCATTGTAGTTTAAGCGATTATAAATATCATTAGGCTGTGTATAAGAGAGTATTTACTCACTATTTCATATTTGAATTATGCCTGATTAGGCTTTCTTGTAATTTCGTTCTCAAATATCCTCCACATAAAATCTTTAGTTGTTTTGCATTGAACCAGCGCCTTTTTTCATTTTTTAAAACACTTTAGCTGGGAACTGGTGGATTTCAATGCAGATCCAATAATTGATTCCTCTGCCACTTTGCCCTCTACATCACTGCGTTCTCGTCAAATACTGTCATCAGAAGAAGTCGATTGTCAGGATATGTCTTCCGAGGGCAAACGTGAATTGAACTGGATTAATCACCAGTTATCAAATTTAAGACAACATTTTCGTAAGCGTCGAGCCATATTATTCGAATCAAATTCTGATGAAAAAGATGATAATGCATCAGATTCAGATGCGGATTCATTACTATCGTCTATTTTGGTGTTTTCTCGACCATTAGACGGTTGGTCTGTATTACCTGTATGTTCAAAATCTTCCACTGAATTCTCTCTCATACCAAACTTTGTTCGTTCTCGTGCAAATAACGGGGATGATATGGAACTATCTGAGTCTCCATTTGCATCTGCCTGGTTTTGTTCAGATAATTCAATGGATTCCACTGGAAAACGAAGTAAAAAACAAAAGACGCTTACAGAGAAGCCATCAATGAGCATAGAATGCGCCTATGGTCAATGCGATGGTTTAAATCTTGATCTGTTGAATCTAGCTCTTCCTGGTATCCCTCCACCTCCAGCACTTGGACGTGTAGAAGTGGACTGGGGATATAATAAACCTGTTCTACTTCATACAATTTTCCATCCTGGTAAAATAGTATTTAGTTTAGCTAAAGGGAATTATGGATCAGCTGGTGAAGTGAGTTATTGTCAGTTTAACTAATGCATATTTTTTAGTGTGAATACTATGCTTTTATTCTGAATACATCTTAGCATTTAAACTTACTGTAGCAGTGATTTCTCCAACTTCCAGTGTTATTGCATCGTTGATGACATCCCTGTATATATGTTATATACATATATATATATATATATATATATATATATATAACATATATTCCTTCACGTTCCCCAGTGGAACATAGGACTTCAAGCTAGTGGCTTGAAGTTTCTGTAGCAGTGTTTATTTTACAGGCCAATCTTTTCTCTTCACCAGCATTATTTCTGGTTTAGCGAGGTAAAGGGATGCGTCGGCCGGGGATCGAACCCCGGACCATGTGCATGGTCGGCCAGCGTCCTAACCGCTATGCCACCGACGCATAATGACATCCCTGTAGATACAGTAAAATGGTCAGTTGCTAAATGTCTGGAAATTTGGCTTTCCTTAAATGATACAGTTGCTTTGGATAATATTTGTATTTCAGTTTATATTTCGTCACAAACTGACGCCAGTTGGAGGACATTGAAAATTAGAGAGCACTGGACAGCTGTTTCCTCCTAGTTTGGGACACTTCAACAGTGTGCACCCACAACTCTTTTAGGGATCCAACCGCTGGACATTTAGGTGACGAAACCAAAGTCGATGACCATTTAGTCTCTTGGGTCAAAAGTTAAAGATCAGTGAATCTCTTATTTCTGCTATTTTGTGATATAGCTCTACACCCAACGAATGCTTCATGATAGGAGATGACGTCTGGGAAAATCGTCGCTGAAATTCGTATACTATCCAATTACTGTAGATCAGGACCGAACTTTCACTGCAAAATCAATGAAACTAACTATCCTGATTCAGTTTACTTTTTTACACGTTTCACAGTATATGTGGACGTCAGAAGTCAGTCTTGCGTTTTACTTTAAAGTTCGCCTTTTCAAAATGTTATTCGAGTTTTATAATTATGATCTTAAATTTTCTCTATAGCATATCTTTATGTCCTACAGTTGTAGTCGTCAGCAATATTACACAGCATTTTTCTTCATATATATTATTTGTTGTCTAGGTTGTTTCAGTCGACGAGAAGAAAGGTAATGTAATGGTTCGTTTCTATCCTAGATTCACTTCACACCGTGATTTGACTGAATTTCGAAGTCAACTTGAAGTAAGCGATCTTTATCGTGTGATCACAAGATTTATCTTATTCTTTCACTTTAATAATATTTTCTCCTCTCATTAACACAATGTTAGTTAATTGTAAAATTGGCATCAAACTTTTTAATTGATGTGTAGCTCATTAATTTTGGCTCTCGATATCCAACTAATCTGTCATGAATTCGAACCCCCTCCACTCCACCTACTGAGGTTTGCACAATCGAATAGTGTCACTAGTCCTCACATAATAGGTGTATTATTTATTTATTTATTTATTATCCCCTTGGATTCCAAGTGGAACAATACATTTGTTTTCTTCGTCAGGGTCCATGACTGCCCAAAATCCCTCATCTCCTCCTCGCACGACCTCCTGCATGCCACCCTAAGACGACCCAGTCGTCGCTTCCCATTGGGACTGCACTCGAGGGCCTGTCTCGCGATGTCATTCGACAGCCTCCTCAACATATGCTCGATCCATCTCCATTTTCTTCTGCATATCCGTTGAGCGATCGGCTCTTGGTTGGTTGTTGCCAACCAGAGTTTCTTGTTGGTAATTCTTTCTGGCCAGCCATTTGATCTTCAGTATGGAGTCGGAGAAGACAGCTGTTGATAAAAGTCTGTAACTTGTTGCAAGTGCTTTTCGTGACACGCAGTGCAAGTTTCTGACCCGTATAGAAGAACTGTCTGAATTCACATTTGTGTTTAAAAAAGGCCAATCTTGTTGTTCATGCTGGCTGAGTGCAGTGCAGAAGATTTCCAAACTGATTTCAGGTTGATGAAAGCATATCTTGCCTTACATAATAGGTGTTGTTCAGCCCCACCTACATGGAATTACAGGTTATTGTTGGATTACTTTAACAGTTGAGGTAATGATTGCCTAACTGTTTTTAAATGACTAAAACTACTCTTCATTAGTAAGTGCACCTTACTATTACCCTGAACTAGATAGATTGTGGTCGGTTGTCATCTCTTGTTTCGTTTTGTACGCACAAAACTTCCGTCCCGATGTTCTCTTGAACATCTTGAAACGCCTAAAATATGTATTGACAGGATTAACTTTCTCATTTTCTATAGTTTGGTTTGTAAGGGTTAGTTTTGTTTTTACGAGTTGATCACGGATTGATATCAGTTAGAGAACCATTGAAAACCAGGGAGTACTGGACAGCTGCTGTTTCATCCTAGTTTGGGAATCATTGGCAGTACGCACCCACTGGGGTTCGAACCCAGGACCTTCCCGTTGCAAAATAAGCTGGCTCGTATACCATTCAGCCACTGGGACCCGATTCGATGACTCTTGAATTCTAACTCCTACCAATTCGTGATTTAGCGCAACCCCAACCATTGTCGTATGTGGGACATCCATCCTCACTTTAATGGTTCTCTAACTGATATCAATCCGTGATCAACTCGTAAAAATATTCGCATTGGTAAAATTAAAGTAAAACATATTAGCGAACAATATTGTTTTCATTTAGATCTTCAGGCTTCATCCTAGTGTACATAGCTTTATATATGAAACATTTTTCACCAATGACGATGGTTTTGTGGATTAAAAACTCACTAGTGTTAAATGTTCTAAATATGTTAGTAATAATAATGGTGATAGTTAGGCTAATGATAACAAATGTACAAGCTGTTGACGCAGGTGGCAATGAGATTAACGCATTTGATATAATAATGTAAACAATTCAGTAATTAGAATAGACCAAAATCTTATAAAATTAAAAGTTGCCTAATACTAAAGATGAAGTGGACAGACTATCGAGGTTTAAATAAATAAATATCAAAAAAAAATACAAAAGAAGTGAAGAGTAAGAAAGTGTGATGATTTTCAATTAGGTTTACCTAGACCAAGATAAAGATAAAGGTAGAACAAAATTCTTTTGTATACAAAGACTAGGATTGCTCTGTCGAATTCTCATAGCTTCAGGTATGTGTAATAGGTGAGTTTGAATAACGTTCGATGGAATGTGATAGATATATCCTTGAAAGCGCTTCTTCCTGTCCACCTGGTGACTGCTATCAATCAAATGAGACAAAACGGTGCTTCTTAGGAATTTTGTTTGGCTTTTTCTGAACCGTGAAGGGAAATGCTTAATAATGGTTTTGTTAAGCTTGTCTAGTTGTTCGCCCTATATTGCTTTCTTCACAGGAGTAACTAAACTTGTACATGCATACAACTGTATAGCACAGCTAGGTAGCTTATCTTTCGCTTGAACAATTATAATTGGTCGGTTGGAAAATGACAAACAAAGACTGGCTTCGATTCATGAATAACCTCCATCCCATATATTACTGAAAGCAAAACATGTAGTTCAGAGAAGAGGCTCTTTTCGGAGAATTCATTTTCTTTAGCTGTACAATCGCATTTATATACAATTTTTTCTTGAAAGAGGATGGTAACAAAAGTAATGTGATCGGGATGCTCATAGAAACTAAGAGAAACATGAAGTTATGTAAGAGTTCTAAAGAAATACAAGAGTTAGAGAGAGAGAGAGTTAGGAAAAGAAACAGACAAAAATCAAGTCAGTAGGAATCAACAACATTGTTACTCTTAAAACAGAAGTGGTTGAATAAGTTTCTTTTGTATGCATAACTGCGGTTATTCTCAACGAATATGGCTAAAGCTTCAGAAATGCAAAGAAGCCGACAGTGTATTGCCTTTGGCAGGTTATTTTTTCACTTCGTAGACTTCTCTGAAGGAAGCGTTTGTTGAGATGGAATGACCCCAGTGTCGAAAAGGTGTTCGATTATCACACTCCTTATGTTATAGAACCACTACTACTTCTCTGTAGCCATACGGGATAGTGTTTTTGAACCCTTTTGGAGAAGATACGCGTCAAATGACCAATGTACTCCCGTCCGACAGCAACAAGTGAACTAATCTATACACACAGAAGCTGGTTTGCTAGGTGTTTACATCAGCTTGATTCATATTTCCCTTTTAGTCTTATACAAATCGTATTACTTTTTTTCCCATCTGTTCGAAAATGGTTAACACATTTCGATATACATATATATATTTTATTTCCGATTTATTTTATTTATCTAGGAATGGGAGCATGATGATTTCCTTACGAATGTTGAAGTAGCCCAACAACTGAATGTTCCAGTCTACATAGTCAATCGGTTTACTGGTAGTTTAATGGTTCAAGTCATACCGGATAGTAAAGATAACCAAACTCAAGGAGTAAATATAACCTCGAAATCAGATAAAATTAACGATAATGATAATTGTGAAGAAAATGAACAAAATAAAACTGAACGAAATTTATTCAGTAATATTGGTTTGAATTTAAAACGAAATCGTTCTGGTGCTCAGGTAAATAAACATTTAAATGTTTCTCTTTCTCACTCTATATATATACGTAAAACGTAGGTCTTTAAGCTCAAGTCTTGAAGTGTCAGTAACTTCAGTGTTGTTTTTACGAGGTGGAGTTGCTAGCCTCACAACCAACTTTCTCTCTCTACCGGGCTTCCTACCGCTTAAACGAGGTTTAGAAGTGCGTCGATCGGGAATCGCAACTGGACCAAGTACGTGGTCGATATATTAATTGATTTTTGGATTTCATAACGAGCTGACATCGGTTAGAGAAACAATTGAAAGACCTGGGAGTACTGGGTAGGTGTTTCTTCCTGGCTCGGGACTCTTCACAGCACGCATCCACTGGGTACTGATGAAGGGTTCCAAACTAGGACGAAACAGCTGTCCAGTACTCCCAGGTTTTCCAACCGATGTCAGCTCATGATGAAATCCTGGAACCGATCCATTCTCTGGAAACCAACTTTTGAATAATTGTTTTTTGTGTACGTTTTTTGCATCAGCCCCAATGAAATGATTCCAGATGAAATCTCAGCACAGATGCAGAAAGCTCATCTCCGGCGCAAATGTGACATCAGGTTATCACTTCATCCTCCTTTATGGTTTTTAAACATAGCTATTAAAAGTATAAGAAATGAAAAGGCTAACTGTCTTTAGCCACAGATACTTGCGTTCTGTCTTCCCGTTTAAGTGGTATGATATGATGAATAATACTGAGGTTAGACCTAGTGTTAGGTAGCAAGGGTAAACCAATGGGTAAGGTTATGAAGGGTAATCAATTGAGATAGCTGGAACACGTGCCACACATTACGATCGATCATCTTCCTCGACAAGCAGTGTTATCCGACATTGAATCAGGTTGGAAGACGGCTAAGGGTAGTCAAACCAAAACCTGTAATCAGTCCATGAAGACTTTGAGTTTTGATTTTAGCTACGTAGGAAAGTGTAGGCTGTCTAGTTGCGGTCTTCGGGAATGCTAAGAACCCATGGCTAAAGACTAATGGTGATTTGGCTTAAAATCGTTCTCAATGGCTTAGATGTATTCACTGTGTAATTTTCTATATCCACTAAACTGTTATGTTTTACACGTCATACACATTTCTACTTATTGTAGGTCTTTTAAACCTGTTTTCTACTCTCTTTTATCATCCTTTTTTGTGCAACTTGGAGTGTGGCAACTTAAACTGGTGCACCTCTGTCTAAAGTTCTATGCTCTTAACACAGTTAGTAGAAAAAAAATTTCACTTCTGATCATTGAACATTACTCTAAACTGTGTACATGTTATTCACACTTTTTGCAATAAGCTAAATTGTACGTGCAGCGCTTGAATTCATCACCTATTATTTCAAAATCGAGCATTCAAGCCAAGTGAACCTATTGATATAATGATAATAATAATAATAATTTGCTTTATTCCAGAAACAGTACTAGTGGTACAGTGTCGAATCTTTCAGCACATATCTATAATATTTGCATCTAATTTTATCAAACGTTTAAAAGGAGTATTTCAAAAAAATAAATATAACGACAACAACAACAAAAAACACAAAAATGATTTTTAAAAATGTGAAAAAATACCAAGAAAATAAACAACATAAAATAATATCTCAGTATTGGGTAGTGGAAGCTATGATATGATTACGCATGGTGACAGTAAAGCTGTAGTCATACAAGAAATTATGAAATGATATTTAAGAATGTTTATCGCCAAGATGATCAGTTAATTTGGTTGAAACAACTCTAAACAATCATAAAATAACATTTCAGGGTTGTTGTTTTGTTTTTTATTGTCAGGTCTAATGCGGTGTTTGTAGTGGTAGTGTGAGTAATCCTGCATAATACAAAATTTTAAGATGGTGATAATGGCGTTCACAACCAATGATTGTCAGTTAATATTGCCGAACAAAAAAAACAACAACAACAACCACAAAAACTAATAACTACATGATGGTTAATGACAGGACAATTTTGTAATACTCATAGTGCTAATATAGTCGGAACCAGTAGATACACAATGGAAGGAATAGAGTAAAGTACAAAGAAGTAAGCCAATGTTAATAATTTAAGTAGCTAAGTATGTTTAAGAAGGAGTTCACTATAGAATACAAAATAAGAGCGAAATAAAAGAGCCTAAAATTATGATTATTAACAACAAAGCAAGTCATAGGTTTCGCGCCTAACATTCTCTCTGTCACTTAGAACACGGTCCAAATATGGTATCGTTGAGTTCCTGTACTTGGTTGTACGAGCATAAATTATTTTATTGCATATTTGAATGGTAAATATTTCCTTTGAAGTTTTGCACAGAACAGTGTATTACTGAATAGTTGTATTGTCAATAAAAATATCATTGTATTCAACATCATTATGTGTCATCATCGGGCATTATAATCAACCAACATAACAGATATTTCAGGTGTCATTCTTTTACTCCCTTCTATACATTTTATACCTGATATTTCTATCTATTTCATTTTTATTTTAGGTTTTAGGTTGGTCAAGATTTTGTACTGTTCGTCATACTTGGTTATTTTCTAACAGAACTATTAACTTACTAAAAGATTTCAGTGAAAAGTTTCCCATCGTTTGGAATAAAGTTTTAAAGTCATCAGATGCATCCAGTCGAAATAATACATGTGTCAAATTATCATCGTAAGTTGTTTTTTTTTCTATTCTACTGAAAGATAGTTTATTTTTCATCCTGGTGGTGACAAGCAAAAATCAATAGGCACTTTCTGTTAGGATTCTGGCTTTTTGTTTTTTGATTTACCGGTGAATGTGAGAAATAGAGAATGCTAAATTACTAACATTTTTAATGTGAACTTTCACGCTCTGGTAGTGATTGAAAGCATCTATTTGATATATGGCTAATTGGCCTAAGCACTTAGTTCTCAGTCCATTGGTCCTAGGTTCGAGTCCTGCTTCACCTACTTCAGTCTGAGAAAATGGGTCGTCTCATCACACCTCTCACAATAAGTGTTCGTCTCATAGCTTTTTATATAAATAATCTGTCCCATTTAACCGAGTTCTGAAAGCATCTATTGAGATCGTTGAATAATCTCAACCAATACTTGAATATCGATGAGATGCTCACTGGCGACTGGCCCTATTCAGGTAGGTAGTTGCCTGGGGTCCCAGTGGGAAGTCGTGACCAATAGGGTGCAGCAGGTCGGGTGTGAGGACAAATACTCGCCGAAGACATTGGCTAGCGGTTGCGCTATATCGTGAATTGGCAGGAGTTAGAATTCATGCACTGGCCATTGGATCGGGTCCCAGTGGCTTAATGGTCTACGAGCTCGCCTTGTAACCAGAAGGTCCTGCGTCCGAACCCCGGTGGGGTTTGTACTGCTAAACAGTCCCAAACTAGGACTTTCTGCAGGTTTTCCAATGGTTCTCTAACCAATGTCAGCTCATGATGAAATCCTGTAACCAATCAGCCAAATCCCTACAAACCAACACTTGAATATATATTATTTATTATTAAACACGAACCTGGTACATTATGAAAACCAAGAGATGCATCACACAAACTTCCACAGTTATTGTCCCTAGGGGTCACCTCCACCCTGAGCTTTTGTCTTGAAGTCTAATCCACAAAGCAGTTGAATAGCTTCAGAAGCTGTGTTGCCGTAGTTTTTGGTGACTAAAGCAGGTTCATACGCCATAGGATCGTTCAGATTTTGGAGCCCATGTACACCATAGATGTGTAGAGTCAGTTTCTTAGCTCTCCCAGGTAGACCTATATGTTCACCAGTCCTCTTGTAAGCACCAGACGCTCGCGTCAGAACTTTCACTTTTGTGAGGAACACCTGCAGCTGTATGATGGCTATGAATAGGACTTACTTGGCAAAGGCGCTATGAAAGCGTCTTGAGAGGAACACCGAAATATCTGCCCACCCTTGGCAGGGTGACAGGTGACCCCATGACTTTTGCTTCTATCCGACCCTAAGAATGTTTAGTAAGCTAATGTAAAATCGTTAGCAGCTGCATAAGCCACTGATTAATTCTTAATCATCATTGAAACTTCAATCTCAATGACTTTAATGATTTATTTTATTGTACTCAGTATTACCTAGTATAAGTGTTGTCCTGTTTGTGTTTGTATGTGAAAGTAACATTAGATTAACAAATGAACTTGTAAACATGTGTGTAAATATACATTCCATTTACTTGCATACTTAGTGGTTTGTTGTTTTACCATTATTATTATTTTTTATTTATAGCAATGAAGTTGATCAAATTACAGAATTTATTACCAACTCTGAGTGTAGAACTGCACCCGTTTTACCGCAAAATGGTATGTATCTAGATAAAGAATGGTTGGATAAATTAAAATCATTATATCCAAAATCTAATGATAATGATGATGGTAATAATAATAATAATAATAAAAGCAATAATAATAGAAAAGATGTTTGTGAACCATTCGATCGAATTGCTTGGAGTAAAAAATCTCCTGTAATCTGTTCACCAGCTTCTTTATTTGTTGTAAGTCGTTTGTTTTTCCTTTTGTCTTGTTACTTTTATGCTCTACTTTTTATTTCATGTCAATAATAATATTCAGCGTCCGTCGGTGGCACAGTGGTTAGGACTCTCGCCGACCATGCACATGGTCCGAGGTTCGATCCCCTGCCGGCGCACACCCGATATCTATGGTCGGCCTGTAAATTTGGGCTACCGATATCCATGCTGAAAATTCCATACTTGTTCTGAAAATGCGGTGTGGAATCAAGCTGTAATCAAAATAAAAGATAAAAAAATAAAATAATAATTATTTAATCTATTTAGCATTACTAAATAATATTTTATATGCTTCAGTGGTTCAGTGAGTAGAACACTCGCCAACTACAGTCGTGTTCCGCAGTTCGATTCCTGGCCGACACACTTTCAAACCTTGCTTAACCCGGCAGGTAAGGTCGGTAAAGAAAAAAGGTTTGGCGTGGGGCTAGCAACCTCACCACATAAAATGAAACACCGCTGCTAGTGAAACTTCTAAGCTCAAGCCTGCAACCCTATGCTGCACTCGAAAAGCAAAGGAATAAGATTATATATATATGTATATATATATATATATATATATATATATATATATATATGATACTCAAGATCAGATGGCCAGAGAAGATCAGCAACAGGGATCTCTGGGAGCAAACCAACCAGGAACCGATTATGCAACAAATAAGCAGGAAGAAATGGAGATGGATTGGCAGGCCATACTCTGAGGAAACCATCAAGTGACATCTCTAGACAAGCCAATGCTCGAGTGGAACCCGAAAGGGAAGCGGCGAGTTGGTCGTCAGTGCAAGGGTGACTTGGAAGAGGTCACGTGAAGAGGAGATACAAGCATGTGGGCAGACCTGGAGCCAGGTGAAAATGTTAGCAGAGAACCGAACGCAATAGAGACGTGCAGCTGAAGCCCTATGTTCCTCTAGGAATTAAAGGATATATATATATATATATATATATTGGTTGAACCAATTGGCACCCATTGGTGTCTTCATATTTATGAAAATGTCCAAGGTCATATAATTTGTTCTTCTTTAGACGATGTTTCTTAAATATTATTCAGCTTAGTAGTAAACTGTAGAAGTCAACAAGTGCAATGTTGTGACTAAGATAGTGAAGAATGATGACTAAGAATAATTTCTATTTGAAATATGTCATCCGGTTATTAGATGATGTCATATACTTAAGTAAACAATCTGATATTTAGCTGTGCTTCGTCACAATGCTGAATACATACAAGTGTTTAGCATTCGATGAAATCTGCCTAAATCCAATTTTACTGTTAAAAAAAACTCTATAGTAGTGTCAATGTGTTTTCGTGTGTAGGTTAGTGTGTCATACATGTGACGATCTATGTCAATATTTTATTGCTTATAGATTATTGTAAGAATAACTATGTTTCCAACGGATAAAATTTTAAAGTTTGATTAATAATAAACATCAGGTAGACAAACCATTCAAATCAGAGAGTACCGGACAGGTGTTTCGCCCCCCCCTTTTTTTGAAACGCTGCAGCATTATGCACTGGGAATCAAACTGTGGACCTTCAGGCTACGAGGCGAGCTCGTTGACCAGTCTAACGCTGGTCCGGAATCTAATACCTCATGAATTCTAACTTCTTCCTCCTAGTGATATATAACGCCACCGCCAACGAACGTCATTGGTGAGTATTTGTCCTCACACCTAACTTGGTGGCCTCCGCTGGTTACGACTTCTTCCCAGAAATTCAGGCAACTTCATCTTGTAATCGGTCACTAGTGAGCATTAGATTAATTTTGTTTTTTCTTTCCAGGGATTCCGTTGATAACAATTTTGATCATGTAGTGACTTCATTTAGAGAAACTATTGAAGATCAAGGAGTAATGGACACCTGTTTCATCCTTATTTGAACCTCTTCAGCGGTACACATGCATACCTGAAGTCAGTTTCTGAAATCAGTCAGATCTGTACAAATCAACACTTGGAGATAACACTTTCATTGGATCAATTGTTATTATTTTTATCCTCTTAGGGTTCCGAGTAGGATATAGGACTTCAACAATACATCTCTATTTCATCCTGCTCTCTATAGTTCTCTTTAACTGGCTTTATGATTGCCTATTAGCTTTCATTTCTTCCTCATGCACATATCCAACTCGTCTTTTTGGATTTGGTTTCCACTCGAGGTTTTGCCTGGTGTGTGGCGTCAGCCAGTGTCCCCCTCCCAATCCATCTCCATTTCTTTCAGCACGTCCGTCAGGTGATAAGTTGTCGGTTGGTTTTTTGCTAAAGTTTCTTCGCTGCTTATCCTTTCTGACTGACTGGCCAATCTGATTTTCAGCATGGAGTGAAGGCAGTTATTGAGAAAAGTCTGGATTAGCCGCCTATTCGAAATGCTTTTCGTAACACGCCAAGTCTTTGAATCATATAAAATTACTGAATAACTTGAAATTATTGTTGTTAGAAATTTGAACCTTGTTCTTTAATGCTGATTGCAGCAGATTTTTTCAGACTGATTTTAGAGTCATGAGTGTCTATCTTCGCTTTCTGATCCTGGCTTTGACATTCTCTTCCATATCGTCTGTAGTTAAAAGAACGCTGCCCAAATGAGTGAAAGAAGTGATAGTGTTTCACGACTGAATTTTTCTCCACCTATAGTTTGAAGTCTACATGAAAAGTTATTCTAGTCTTCCTTATTGAAGTAGACTTGATTTAAAGTGAAGGATATATTAACGATAATTGAATGCTTCGGTTACTCCACTCATAATATTGAAGTATTCAACAGATTTAGTATTAGAAATAAATAGAAAGTTTATATTCATTGAAAAATTTATTAATACACTAAGAAAATACTACCACTGCTTTTGACTGATAGAACTGATATGATTGTGAGCAATAATCAGAAGGTCCTGGGTTCGAATCCCTGTGAGTGCGTACTGACGAAGAGTCCCAAACCAGGGCGAAACAGCTGTCCAGTACTCCCAAGTTTTCCATTGGTTCTTTAACTAATGTCAGCTCATGATGAAAATCCTGCAACCAATCAAATCTCTACAAACCAACACTTGTGCTCAAAACGTCATCAGTAAATATTACTATACAACATTGTGTGACTTTATCAAAGTAAAATTTTATCCATAATGGAGTTATACTCTAACACACTATCCAAGTTTTATCTTTATATCAATAATAATGAGAGAATTCAGTCTGCACCAAACGAAGGACTAAGCGCATGACACTAGTTATTTACTACCTAGTGCCCAATCGAAGTGTCCAGTACAATCCTACAGTAGGTCAATCACGAACCCGAATAGTTTGATGGTGACGTCTTTGACTGCATCACTGGATGACATGGGTTTGAATCTTAGAAGGGACGTGAATTTCTTCAAGATTGCAGTTACGCCTTGCTTGCTGGTGAGTGCCAGCAGGCACGGAACCTAGGTCTAAGACTTCTTCCTGATTCCCTCCAGTCGCCTAACATCAATTCAGTGTGCACCTCAATAACGAGCTAATTACCATGGGGATCACATTACAAACTTGTTTGATACAATTCAGTCTTCATAAATATTGACATACATTAAAGTCGCATTTCGATTTCCCACAAATTATGTGTTTACATTGTTCAGTTCTCAAAATAAAATCACCTTCAGATGAAAGTGGAATTAATAGATATTTCTTTTTCTATGGGGTCATCCCATTGCAATAAAATCTAATTTTGTCTTATTTGATTTATTCATTAATGCATCCTGTGCAGATTAGATCTTTCATACACGATTTCCCCTTAGTGAATCTGAATAAATCGATATGAACTATATGTGGAACAGGATAAATTGGAACCATTGTTTATATCGTTTGGTATCTTAACTAATTCTAAGCTAAATAATGAAGGTTAATACTGATAAAAATAGGAGGCAACATGTGGAACAGTGATTCAGAGTGTTCACGGTTTGGAAATTAAACGAAGTGTTAAATTAGTAAAATACAAAGAAATGTATCATATCGATTCATTTTTATACCATTATGATTCCCTGGGGTTTCAACAACACTTATCCATTTCATTCTGTTCTCTGCAGTCCTTTCTAGTTGACTCCACGATTGTCCATAGTTTCTTATCTCCTCATCGCTGTCACCCTCAGTCGCCAGACTCGTTATTTCTCATTCGCGTTCCACCCAAACGATAGCCTGATTTGTCAAATCTATCTCCACTTTCTTCGGCATATGTGTTGGGCAATAGATTCTTCCTTAGCTTGTTGTCAGAGTTTCCTGTTGCTGATTCTTTCTGGTCATTTTATCTTCACATTATGAAGCGAAGTGAACTGCTGATAAAAGTTTGATCATTCTTAATTACTCTCCCGTGCTTATTTGCAATAAACTGAAGTATATTAAAATCATAATAAATCCAGTAACTTCCGGTAACATCGACTGAGATGGTTAGGACATGTGTTACGCATGCCTAGCCACCGCCTTCCTTGACGGGCAATGTTAGCTGACATAGGATCAGGTTGGAAAAGAGCCAGTGGTGGTCAAACCAAAACATGGCTTCATCAGTCAATGAAATCCGAAACAATTCGTTTAAGCCATGTAGAGAGGTGTAGACTTCCTTGTTGGGATCCTCGGGATGTTAAAACCAATGTCTGGAGACAGTTGGTGATATGGCTCAATATCCTTCTCAATGGCTGGTGGAGACGCATCCACTCCTTGTGACTTATAATACCCAATGGAACTATATTGTTCTTCGTTACTACTATTCCTTTGTCTCTCACCTCTGTTTACTGTCTATATTATGCATTTCTTCTACTTTCTTCTCTTGTTTTGTGTGTACATGGAGGAAGTGTGGTGACTTGAATTGGTGCACATCGGTGCAAAGTTCTATGTCGAAAGCAGACAGACAGTTGAAAAGATACTGACGAAATACGTTATTGCATCCATTTTTATCCTGCTGTGTGTGTTGTTATTGCTTCGTTAAAAACTATATTCCATTGTTGTCTTCATACTAGAGTAATAAGGAATTTTGATTATCATGTTGCTCTCTGTATTTCTTGTTTCTTCAAAATTTTATTTTAATTTTAAACCGAAATGAATATTTCCTACGAAACATCGGACAAAGTTATTTATCTATCTTGTTTTGATTAATGGTGACTAGTATGAGAGTGGTTGACTCTGGCGGCCTGCTTGTATCACTGGGCTACCTAACACAATGCATCATATTTTCTCTGATTCTTATTGTCTTAACCATTCACTTATGTCCTTGAGTCGTAAAATGTACTAACGCACGCACATTTTCAATTGACTTTCAAACTACCGGTGTACATTTCGCAGAAACGAAGGAAATATATCATAAAGGAACTAGTCTATGCTTCAGATGTAAATTGCTGTGTCACGTGATATACTACTATTCACTGCTATTTTCCTTGAAGATCTTGGATGAAATGAAAATATCAAGCATTGTTTTTTTGTAGGGATTTTTTGTTTGATTGATTGGAGGATTTCATCATGAACTGACATCAGTTAGAGAATCATTGGGAAACCTGGACAGCTGTTTCGTCCTAGTTCGGGACTGTTTAGCAGTACACACCCACCAGGGTTTGAACCCAGGACCCTCTGGTTACAAGGCGAGCTCGTAGACCATTAAGCCACTGGGACCCGATACATTATGCAATAAATTATTTTGAGAATTTTGTACACTGCAAACATTTTGTTCAGAATAAAGCTACTTATTTATTATTGTTAGTTGTAGTAGTGGAGTCTAGGATAAGTATTACATCCTATTTGGGATTCATCAACTGGATATACCTACAGTCCCCATTGAGTTCCGGTGCTCCCACTGACAGTGGACCCCTACAACTATCGTTTAAAATGCCAAAACAGTATCCATGATGGTCACGTTTTGTGCAACGAGCATCAGATTAATTTCGCATTTGCCGTTCACTTGTTCATCTTGACCCCAAATGATCGGTATCTGTTGAGTTGAAAACAAATAATATTGATCCACCTTGTTTATTAGTACAGAAAAGTTGTTTGCTTTTAAGTTTTCTCAATGAAAATACAATAAACGCGCAATGCCCACTTCAATTTCATTTCCTTCTTTCTATTTAATTTCAGTCAGTTAATTCAAATACACGAATCTATCCATCATCATTCAAATTAACACCATCTGATCGTTGTTATCATTCTTCGAATTGTTCATCTGTATTCAGTACATTTACATTATTAGACAGAGTTATATATATTGGTGTTGGACAAAATATTCCATTAGGATTACATGGAATTGTTATTGGTGTAGCTTCTGGTAAGTTGCTGTTACATAATATATGTATCATAAATTTATAATCTACTAAATTTACACTATATGTGATTAATGATTCAAATCTCTTTTATACACCAGTTGGAGGTCATGGAAATAAACCAGGAAGCACTGGACTGTTGTTTCGTCCTGATTTGAGACTCTTCATCAGTGTGCACTATCTACCCTATCAGGGATTCGAACCTTTAGGTTACAGGGCGAACTCGTTTACTATTCAGCCATTCGATGTGAAATTCAGTGACCCTTGAAATCTAACTTCTTTTATTACGTCACATAGCGCTACCGTAGACGAATGCCTTCTATGCGCATCCACTTCTATTAAACATTTTGGACTCTGCTGACTGAGATTCAACACAGAAATTAGCATCGATATGCACCAGTTCAAGGAAGAAAGAATAGTAACGTAGAAAAACATTTCGGTTTCATGGGTATGAGAAATGACAAGGAGTGAGTGCATCTGAGCCATTGAGAAGAATTTTAAGCCATATCATAACAGTTTCCAGTAATTGGTAGTCTGCACTCCCTACATGACCCAAAGTGACTGTCAAAGACTTCATGGACTGATGACACTTTTCTAACCTAATCCTGTGTCAGCTAACCTTGCTTGACGAGTTAAGTGGTGGTTTGACATGCACAACACGTACCCGAGGTATATCAGATGACGCAGCTTCAGAGTCTAGTAGAATATATTGTCATCCGTATACTCCAATACACCTATCATCATCAATAGTACTCACTGTATTATGCCACATAACACGGGAGACAGCGTTTTCTGTCAAAGACAGATAGTTTTCATATGTTCTACTTTCAATGGCTATGTGTCACAACTATAAAGTGAGGACAAAGTAAACTGGGTAGTACATGTGTCCTTTGATCAATAGGCTGGACATCAAGTCTACACCACAGATAATGTGGGTTGGTAGGTGGTAAATGAGCCTTTTGTATCCGTGTTGAGATTTCATCACCAATCAGTCTATTATGGCTGAAGCAACTTCCCAAAAGTGCATCGGTGGCATAGCGGTTAGGACGCCCGCCGACCATGCACATGGTCCGGGGTTCGATCCCTGGCCGACTCACTCCTTTACCTCGCTAAGCCAGAAATAATGCTGGTGAAGAGGAAAGGCTGGGTATGAGGCCAGTAATCCCATCCTGTAAAATAAACACTGCTACAGAAACTTCAAGCCACTAGCTTGAAGTCCTATGTTCCACTGGGGAACGTGAAGGTGAAAAAACTTCCCAAATAAATGAAGTGGTCAACACACCATCGTTTCACTCCCTATCTTTAAACTAGCCGTCAGGATACTCCTGTTTTACAGTGTCACGTCACATTTTATAGGAGCGAATCGCATGCCAAACATTCGAAGATTTCCGTTCAACGTGTTCAGAGGACTGTATGATATCATCGTCTCTACCTAGGATGTCAACTTCATCCTCATTCTCTAAGTCAGCAAGACCTTACTCTCGATAACTCATTTCAGCCTTACGACAACCATCAAGTAGTCATCAATGAACTGCAGACTGATATTTGGATAATCAGGTTTTGTGGTGTGTTTTTTTCCTTCACGTTCTCCAGTGGAACATAGGGCTTCAAGCTAGTGGCTTGAAGTTTCTGTAGCAGTGTTCATTTTAAAGGATGGGGCTGCTAGCCTCATGCCCAACCATTCCTCTTTACCAGAATTATTTCTGGATTAGGGAAGTAAAGGAGTGCGTCGGCCAGGGATCGAACCCCGGACCATGTGCATGGTCGGCAAGCGTGTGTTTGGATTAATAAAAATATGGTTATATATATATATATATAATTTCACATGCACTTTATCTAAAGAATATTATTAATTGTGACAAGCTCAGACTTCGGAAAGCAGTATGACTCTAGAGAGTTCTGTATTGTATAATTATAGTATCATGTGATTTTATTCAGATCAGTCTACTTTTTTTATTCTCCCCTCCCCCACTCTGAAATCTATTTTTGATCTAATCATTAAAACGAAATAAGAAAATGGCGTGATTGATCATATGGTTTATTTATTTATATTATGTTATTTCTTTTCCGTCTCTTTTTTTTCAATGGAACTAATTTTAACTCTATAAATAGTCAATTTTTTTCTTAGTGAATCTCTCAGTTTGATTGAAATCATACGCACATATACTAGAAAAACTCATAGACGAAACATCGATGTTGGCTTTCTTGTATTTTCAATGAAGCAGCTTTTTTCGAAGATGTACAATAAATGTTCATTTTCAATTGTTGGTTTGTAGGGATTTGGTTGATTGATTACAGGATTTCATCATGAGCTGACATTAGTTGGAGAACCATTGGAAAACCTGGGAGTACTGGACAGTTGTTTCGTCCTAGTTTGGGACTCTTCGGCCGTACGCACGCACCGGGATTCGAACCCAGGACCTTCTGGGTTATATTTTGTTATATGATAAGAAATTCTAAAGACAAATTGATAATGTGCGGTGATCACCAGGACCAATTTCATGTGAAATAATCTCGTCGACTTAGAATATGCAGACGATATAGTCCTTCTAGGCGAGGACGCTGACAAAATGCAGAGTCTTCTGAACACCTTGAGCTGCCGTCTAAGAATGTTTGACATGCGGTTCGCTTCCGCCAAATGCAAGATGATGTTACAGGATTGGACTCCTAGATTAGAAATAGGAAGTGAAGTGGTAGAGCACGTTGACCGCTTCACTTACTTGGGAAGTATCATCAGCCTCAACGGGTTGACAACTGTGAAATTAAACGATGGACCTTTGATGGATGTAGTATGTGAACTAAAATTCTATTGTCTTTACATAGGTGACACATTTATGAGTATGCAAAATGAAAATGAAGTACAAAAGATCCTTGATATATTTAACTATGTTTATCTGCGATAAATTCTACCGTTAAGAAAGAAAGAAATGTTAATATATCATTCCTAGACGTCATTATGACAAAAAAGAGGACTGTACAATAAGAAGTGTAGATAGAAAACTTGTGTCAGTATACTCAGTTTTTTGAGCTTTGTACCCTTGGAATATAAACACAGTTTAATAGAGTTTTTGGTACACAGTGCAAGAACAATCTGCTCTGGTAAATATCTTAATGAAGAGCTCAATATTATGAAGCAGTTACTGAATGGAAATGGTTACTGAGTGAAATTCATTGACAAGAATAAGAATCTAAAGCCAAGGCAACATTAAGTGCGAACAGTTCTGAAGAAAACCTTGTTCTAAGACCTGCAATTCCTAGGGAATAACACAACACTTAAAGAATGTAGTAAAACGAGCATTCAGTGCCTTCGAAGTTCAATATCTTTTCTCAGCCACTCTTGTATGACTTTTGGAAGTTAAAGATAAACTATCTTATATCTTTACTTCCATGTGCATTTATCAATTTGATTGCTTCTGCGGAGCCAGTTAAATAGAGCGTACAATTAGGCATGTTTATCATCGAATTTCCGAACATTAACCTGCATGGTTAGGCAAAGGACATACAACGTCCATTCACAGCTCTGTTTCAGCTCATCTAGTGGATACAAAACACAAAATTGATGTCATTAAGGCCTTTAACATCATCTGCTGTATTCTCATTAATCGTAACTTCATCTTACGTGTTCGTCTGTTACATATTACTGAAACCATCGGAACTCACGTTAAGAAGGCTTATTTATGTGTTCAGAAGAATTTTGTTCAGACGCTTTCATTACCTAGGCCATCAATATTTTAACTATCTGTAATTGTTGAATAAATTCCCTTAATTTTTAATCTGGTATTCAACTTAGCATTACACTTTTATGCTTGCTATATCTTGGCATCTTTCTTGAACTGTAATTTCATTAATCTTAACAAGTATTTAGCTTACTAACTGACATAACATAATCGACAAAACTTACACTTGGATGTCCAATGAATGTCACTTACTGATTCTTAACTTTTTTAATCTATGACTTATCAATTTGTCGACCAACTATTTAAATTAGTTATTGTCACAGTGACACTGTGGTTTATATGCATAGGTTTCATTGTATTTCTAGACAACATTTTCAGTGCCTACTACATTTTGAAGTCTCAATGAATGGAAGAACTGTCTCTTTTGATAACTTTGGCTGTAAATTTGCTGTTAATTCGTATTAATATCTGTTAATCGATACGACATTATCATCCAATCAAACTAAAAATCTTCTGGATCATTTTTAAATTGGTTAATGTTTTTGCCAACTTATTTAATTCTTGTGTGAAATAGTGATTGAAATCTACCAATTTGTTTTAACAGTGTAGTTGCTTAGGGTGCCTTAGCGGTTCAGTAGTATCACACTTGCCAGCCAGCCTGGAGGTCTGAGTTCGATTTCCTAAACCTTACCTAGTTTATTAGCCGGCAGTAAGCCCTGACGGCAGGGAAGGTTATTTGTGAGAACCATTAGAAAACTAAGGAGTACTGAACGGCTATCTCGACCTAGTTTGGGAGTCTTCATCAGTACACTGGAGTCCGAGCTCAGGATCGTCCAGTTACAAGGCTAGCTCATGGACCAGTCAGTCACTGGGACCCTAATCTGATGACCCATTAATTCCAACCTCGACCAATTTGTGATTTTAACGCGACTACCATCCAATGTCATCAGCGGGTATTTCGTCCTCACGCCCAACCTGATACACTCCACTGTTCACGATTTCTCACTAGAATGTTTCTTCTTATTTGGACTAATTATTAACTATTTACACCAGTCTAACGGAACTATTTGGGGTTCCCATTTATTATCTAAGGCTATATTTATCATTATCAACGTTTAATGTCTTGAAGGTCAAAGCTCCAAATTCTAATCGTCGTCCCCTCTTTATATTAAAACCTGTTTATACTTTATATTGAGAGTCAGAGGACCATTGTCCATGTCGCGTTCATACTGAGATTAAATTGTGTATGACTTTCATTCTTCTGTAGACTACCGGAATTACTTCTAAGCGTATTTTGCCCAGCCATTTCTTAGAAGTCAGTAAATCTGCATTATCATCCGATATCATTTCACTTGTCATGAATATTCTGGAACACATTTCTTTAATAAATTAAAATAGTGTACAGATATATTCTTCAAGCAATGATCTGAACCCAATTACCAAGAAATGGCTTATTGGAACAAGGGGTCAAAACCATCGAAATATAATGAAGATGTGTCGAATTTTATTGAATTTATTCCTTTAAGTTCCCACTGGACAAAGGGTTTCAAGCTATAGCTTTAAAGTTTCGGTAGCAGTGATATTTATTTCTACGGGGTGCGATCGCTAGCCTCACGCCTAACAACGGTAAGGATCGAACCCCGTGTGTGTAGAAAGGTTTTCATTATTTCCTTATTTCTTCTCTTTTCTTGTATAATTAGGTGTTAGCTCACAAAACGGTGATCAACCATTGGAGATTATGTTTGATAAAACATTCACGGATGCTATAGATATTCGGTTAGTGTTTTTGCTTTCATATTACTTCTGTTCATGTTGTTTTGATTGGTCTCTAATATTTTTTAAGATAGCTCATTGTAATTATTATTATTCCTTTAAGCTCCGAGTGAAAATTAAGGCCTCAACAGCACATCTCAACTTAATTCTCTTCTCTGCTAGCTCCACGATTTTGAATAGGTTTTCATCTCCTCCGTGTCACTCTCGGACGACCCACTCGTCGTTTTCTATTCGGGCTCCGCCCGACGGCCGGCGGCGTGATGTCACTCGACGGTCTCCTCAGCGTGTGTCTGGTCCACCTCTATTTTCTTCGGGATATTTGTTGATCAATAAGTTCTTGGTTGGTTCAATCCCAGAGTTTCTCTTTCTTAATTCTTTCTCGCCACACGACCTTCAACATACATCCAGAGAAAGTACTTGTAAACAATAGTCTTCAGTGGCCTGTTGGAAATGCTTGTCATGGCGTGCACGCCCAAGTTTGTGACCCATATAAAAGCACTGACTGACTTAACATTGATGTTAAAAATCCGAATTTATTTTCTTTATCCTTCGATGGAGTGGATAAAGTTTCCGCATTGATTTGAGAGAAATGAAGGTCTATCTTGCCCTTTCGACCCTGACTGGTTTTGACATCTTTATCTGTGCTGTCGTCTGTAGTTAAAATGATGTTTTGTATGTAAGTGAAGGGAGTGATCTCTTTCAAATTTCTTCCGTGGACAGTGATTGGTGATTGTTTTTGTCGGTCGGCTAGTTTCATCGCCTCCGTTTTCTTTGTGTCCACGTGGAGTCCTGTCTTCATTCCTTATTCTAAAATCTTGTTGGTTTTGGACTGTTCATCTTCGAGTTTGTGTGACACTAGGCACGAATCATCCTCGAAGTCTAGATCTTCTAGAGTCTTCTAGTTGGCCCAGCGTATTCCTGTCTTCTTACTCATTGTGGACCTCGTAATCCAGTCCACCAAGATTAGGAATATCATCGGTGATAGTAAGCAACCTTGCCGTACTCCTCTCTTCATTTCAAAGGCAAAGTTAAGTTTTCTGTTGTGGGTCAGTTGACATGTGACATAGTCATTTAGCTGCTGAATGAGGTTGAGAAGGATTTCTGGCACTCTATAGTGTTGAATCATTTTTCAGATTACTTCGCAGTGAATGCTATCGTCGTTTCAGTTGAGGTAGAGATCTGACCGCCGTTCTATACTCTGTTTGACGGTACCAGAGGTTTGTAATTATCGTCAAAGTTAAAATATCGGTTGTGTCAAGTTTTTTCTATGGTTCTTCATATATTCCTGTATAAATTCTGGTTGGTAGTTATACAGCAGTTATAATATCTGGCCTAACTAGTAGGTCAGAAGATCCAAATAATGAAATCAAACAAATAAAGGAAGTATGACTAGTATTAATCACCAGAATTTATTTAGAAATATATGAAGAACCATAGAATAACCAAGACTAGCAATAAAAGTGACGAAAATAATATAGAATTCAAAGCCTCTGTAGCACTGCCGTATAAATTAGGAACACCACAGGCCTTACGTAGAATTCTCAATGACGCTGGGATTAGAGTGGTATTTAAACCAACCAAGTCTTTCAGAGATAAACCTTGTCGCGTTAAGGACCCAATAGATCCAATTAGGAAAAATAATATAATTTACCAAATACTATGTAATGCGTACAGTGAGGTCAATTACATAGGTCAAACTGGTCGATCAGGGTCAACTAGGTTATTGGAACATGAAAATTTAGCTAGACCTAGAATAATTGACCCTGCTAAGTTAAGTAACCTAGAAAAAAGCTCAGCCATTGCACTGCATTCACTTGCATGTAATCACACAATAGGATGGGACAAGGTAAGAGTATTAAAAGTAATATATTTAGGTGGAGAGATAGAGAAGTTAATCACTGAAGCTTTGTTTATCGTCAAGTCAACACCGTACACGTGCAATCGGAATGACGCAACACCTATACCGGAGATATGGAAAGTGGCAACAAACAACAAAGGAAAATTGGAGAGATAGAAAGAGAAAACGTTTATATAAAACAAATTTTGAAAACGTGTGACTAAATTGATATGATTTTGAGCAATAATTTATACTCGAAACGTCATCCAGTTAATATTACATCACTGTGTAATTACTAAAGTAATCGTATCTAGTATGAAATTTCATTTTATCAAAAGTTTCGTTTGAGTGTGCAATAAATCCCTTTACTCATTTCAGTAATAATAATATTAATAATCTGTGTTAAAGACAGCTGAACTTTTAGTTACATCTCAAAATTTCTTCTTATGACACGTACATCTCTTACAATATGCCAAGACTAACTCAATATCTAAATATTCAAATTTCTCAACTCAACACACATATTTAGCTTGCTTGTGTTTTTTTTATTTATTCATTTCTCCGAATTTCGATCCAACTGACAAGAATTTCAAGTGTAAAGGAAACAGAGTCAGTCACTGACGAGTAACTGAAGACAAATTTTTGCAGGGTCTTCCGGAGATTTGGATTCTACTTCTGTAGCTTTTCGACTTTTCATTAGGTTGGGACTGTGTGTGTGTGTGTGTGTGACATATTCAACTATTTCAAAGTATCAATTCATGTGTCGATAGCACTTTAACGCGCCTTACATTCTTATGTCGTTCAACTTTTCTCATCTTTGGATGTAACCACTATGTCATTTAAAAAATGTTACATTATGTCACGTGGTTTGTGGAATTTGATATAATACCACTCACTGTCTGTTGTACAAGGCTGTAGTGGACAGTATTCCTCTGAATATCTGACAGTTTTCCTCATGATCATATATATATATATATATATATATATATATATGTATAACTTGATTTTATTTTCGACATAACAATGTTTGTTGAATTAGCGGTCATATGATTCCGTTATGAATACATTTAATGTGAAATAATAGACTATGTTGTCATGGTAATTAGTCTATGATGCTTATTGTTAGGTCAGTTTTGCATTTTCCCGTTAATTGTTTGTATCAAACCGGAATACTCTGTCTCTGTGGGCATATCGTCTCCAGTAGTACGGGCGCTTTGACCGAGTATTGCTGTCCAGTATAATCGATCAACAGGGAATGCAAAGTTTACCTTAAAAACAAACTTGGCGCCCATAACTTAGTGAACAATGCTTTTGTCGTTCGAAAGGAGGGATGGAAGGTTCGAGCCCCAGTGAGGAACAACACTCACTGGTAGGGGGCATTCAGATGATGAGTCCCAAATTGGGTGAAACGAGCTTCATGAATTCCACTGCCAGTTACCACTCACCAAAAGTCTTTAATTAGGTTTTATTTGTCTGTTGATTTACTAACAACTATTCTTTCTGAATACTTTGGCACTTACCTATTCACTTTGAATATAATTGAGTTGGTTTTTTTTTATTTTGTAAGTTGACTATTCGAATCGCTTCTTTATTGTGTGATTCAATAAAAGTCATCGGTTTGATAATTTTGATTGTTTGCCTTTATTTCATGAAACTTTAGTTGCTTTAGTACTCTGCCTTCTTCACATTGGAACGTCACCTAGGTTACTAAAAATCGCGGTAAACTAAATGGTATTATTACTTGTCACGTGGAGGTTGGGACTCATTGCAGTGTTCGTCTACCTTTAATACACTAACCAGTTCTATTGGCATAATGAGCAGCAACAGTCCGTATAACCTTAACATATTATAATGAAATAATCATTATTTATGTATACACTTCATAAAATATCTATCTAATATTTATCATATGGTGTGAAATATATTAGTTAAATCTAAAGATTGTTAAAGTGTGGCTCATTGTCGTGAACAGTTGATTTAGGGCCTATAAGTCCCCGTCTTAGGTTCTTCTTTACCTATTTCAGCCTTGGCGAATAAACACTATGATTAACCTTTACACAACAAGGCCACGTTGAACTTTAAGCACCACTAACCACCAATAGAGTATGACACACCAATGACATTGAAACGCTCACTGAGCAAGTTAGTGAAATCTGGCAAATAATGTTGTCAAAATCAATAAAATATGCTCATTGAAATGTTATGCTATTAAATGAGATATCTGGCAAGTTTCAGTTTAGGATTGTGAAAGATTAAGTTACGCTTTAAGCCGAAGGCGACATTAGGATTGTTTCGAGTTACATTACACTTAGTTTAGGGACATTTTCACGTCAGGGTTAGGTTCAGGAAAAATCAGGATTAGAAGACCTAAATAATTACATGCATAGAATGTGGTTAAATTACTCTGTTGATATAAGAATAGAACTTGTGCACTGTGGTAGAGCATAATCCCATTGTGGGTAAAATTTATTTTGATAAAGGCTCACAGTGTTATACAGTAATACTTACTGATGAAGTTTCGAGCACAATTTATCGCTCAGTAAATATTACTGTATTACACTATGAGACTTTATCAAAATAAATTTTACCCACAATGAAATTATACACTGTTGATACTCCAACCTAAAATTGACAGCTATTTTTATCACATGTGAGAGAAAAGTATCCTCTGTTACACTTGTACAGTTTTTATGCATTTTTTTCATAAATATATGTTTTCCATACACAAAAATGCCTCCTTCATGTGATTGGTGCGTTCGAGGTCATTCTCTGATTGGTAGTCAGTGGTGCTTAAAGTTTAATTTTTGCCCACAACAAGTCTGGTTTATAGTCTTCTAGTATGTGACAAATTTGTTTTGGGTTAAAAATTCCATGTGGAAACTGAGAATTACTCAGTTTGTTCTAAAACTGTGTGGAATAAACAAAAACAATCTATTATTCATCAATTACTTGAATTTCCCATGTAGTTAGCAATAAGATCCAATGTGATTGGATCAACGTGACTGGTCAAATCTAGGTAGGTAGGTAGGTCGGGGTTTGAACCCCCTGACACAGCGATTACAAGTCGAGCACGTATACACACTGTACTACTGAAGCTGTCCATTGATACTTTAGTATGAGATAATATTTTAATCGGGAAAAAAAGCGGGTTGATAAAGAAAATGTGATAGTCTTTGAAATTTCGCTTCTTTTGCTTTCTTTTGAAGTGATATTACGCCATTGTTGTAAATAATCTGTGAATTTTTTCTTTGTTTTCAGTGGATCTGGTCCTTGTTGTGCCTTAGTGCTCCCATCACTCTTACTCAGATTACCTGAGAGAGGTAGTAAAAAAGACCAACCGAGTAATCAAAAGAAAATAAATAAATCTACAAATGCTACAAATACTGCACCTCATGGGAAGCCATCTCCACCATGGTCTACTAAAGGACCAATGCGTGTTTTTCGTCCATGGCCAGTAAATAAATTTGATCAAAATGTAAATGATAAAAAAATTGACCATCATAATCGTGGAAATCAGTCAGTTAATCAGTCTGGAAGCTTATCAAATACGCCAAAAGTCAATCCCCAACAGCAACAATCACAACAACAGCAGCAAACGGTGAAGGTTTGTTAACATTTAGTAGGATTACTTTGCTGTAATTATTTTTTTAAAATAAAATTTACTGTCAGCTGGTTTAAATTTATCAACATACTTTGAATTATGCGCGTTCCTACTGTCATAGGCGTAAATATTAAATCAATAGGATCCTAGTTGAACTCTAGTCAATTGAGCCTAAATAACTCGCTAATTGCAATGACATTCATTATTATCAGAATATATATATATATTTTTTTTTAAGGAATGAAAAGTAAAATTTTGATGTTAATTAACTCTGAGAATTGTAATAACAAAACAGAATTTATGTAACCTCGGATTCTATGTGATGGATAAATCAATACTTTTTGATTTTCATTATTTTCTCATATAGTTATGTATGTGTATAGACTGCAGGAATTTGTTGTTTCTTAATTCGGTCGAAAAATTTTATATTTACTTCTTAAGTAGTATTCATCACATATCTTGGTATGTTACTTTCTGTTAGTTACTGACCCCAATAGCTTATATTTTCACCTGTCTGACTTTCAAATCTTTAAACAAACCGTAGGTATACTTTTGTTTGTTATGTTATGTTAATAACTCCTCTGTTTTCCTGATGAAATCCGTAACCACAGCTACAGTGTTCGTTTATTTCCCTTCTTCAGTTTAAGCAGTCTATTTCTACTCATTTTGGTATACTGACACATCCTGTTGAAAAGTCCTATATAGGACGAAACAGATCACAGCAATTCTGCTGGTAAAAGTTATCCTCTGCGGGATAACATCATAGTTTTCTTTGTTTTCAGTTAATTTTTAGTCGCTGAAACTTTTATTCCATCCGATATTGTTTAATAATCAGATCTCTCTTGAAGCCTTGCTATGACTGTTCGTAATTTATTATTAATGTACAAACATCTTCCGATGTAATGCTGAATCATTCGAACGTGTATTCTTAAAGAATACAGTCCATATTCCCCATTTATTCGATGTCATTTGATTCGTACAAGGTGGCTGATGATTGTAAAATGTCACTCGCTGAATAAACATGCTAGTTTTAGATAATTTGACTGACAATGTCGAGCAGTGGAATACATGATATGCATTTCGTACTTTTTGTGACTCATCGGTTGGATGTACCTGAATATCCAAAGAGTGATGGTCTTCCCATTGCGAAATGTTATGTTGAATGGATGACGCCAAGTTGGACATGGACGGGGTGATCACAACATATCTCTAGGCTACTCTACCATCGGTCACCACAGCTACCTGTTCCCAGCCCGCTCTATTTGACCGAGAATCACAAGAGATAAGATGGAAAGGTATCAGTTTATTTACAGAAAGAAGCAATGATATATATATATATATGCCAATGACGTAAGCGTTAGAGATGATATCCATAAAAGGATGTATCCACACATTGTTCAAACGCCAAAGCGTTTTCTGGGAGGGCCACAAAAGCCACTGCTTGTGGAATGGGATCGCGCATTTCGGACCATTATGATCAGTCAGCGGGAAATGTAAATTAACCTAGAAACAATTAATACAAATTTCAGGTTCTAATTACTCGCTTTTGTGCTTGACCCCCCCCCCTCCCCATCCATTTGCTGACTGTTGGTTTTACGATTATTATTCTCGTTTAAATGTATTTCGATTAATACTTATTAGTATTTTTATTTGCACTTTCCAGCCATCGACAAAAAGTATTTCTTCAGTAGAAGACGATGTAATCAAAGAAATGCAAGGTTAGTTGGCACTTTGAAATCCTTTATCCATTTAATGATTAATTTCTGATTACATTAAAGAAATTCTTATGATTTTGACATATTTCTAAGTCCTGTTTTCTTTGTGGAAAAGTGCTTTCCACGATGGCACCTTTTTGAGTGTTAAACATAAATAAATAAGGGGGAATGATTTACAATTTCGCAATGTATAGGATCAAAGCTATTATTATTATTGTTTCCTTTAATTCCTAGAGGAACATAGGGCTTCAGCCGTGCGTCTCCATTGCGTTCCGTTCTCTGCTAGAGTGTTCACCTGGCTCCAAGTCTGCCCACACTTTTTCATCTCCTCTTCACATAACCTCCTCCAAGTCACCCTTGCACTGATGACCAACTCGCCGCTTCCCTTTCGGGTTCCACTCGAGCAATGGCTTCTCTAGTGATGTCACTTGATGGTTTCCTCAGAGTATGGCCAATCCATCTCCATTTCTTCCTGCCTATTTGTTTCACAATCGCTTCCTGATTTGTTGGTTCGCTGATTGCCAGAGATCTCTGTTGCTGACCTTTTCTGACCGGCCATCTGATCTTGAGTATTGAGCGAAGACAACTGTTAATGAAGGTGTGTAGTTTGTTTGAGATGCTCTTTATGACGCGCAGTGCAAGTCTCTGATCCATATAGTAGCACTGACTTCACATTGGAGTTGAAAATCCGGATCTTGATGATTTTTGATGCTGAGTTCTGTTGACCTCCACACAGACTTGAGAGTAGTGAAAGCTTGTCTTGCTTTTCCGATTCTTGCTTTGATATCCTCATCAGTTCCGCCTGTAGTTGAAACGATGCTTCCCAGGTAGGTAAAAGAGGTTGCTTCTTTCAGGTTCCTCCCATTTATGCTGATTCTTGTCTAGTGCTGTTGTTGTTGGCCACCACCTAGCTTCATCACCTCTGTTTTCTCTATGTTCACCTACAGTGTTATCTTCTCTGGATGCTTCTTCTGCCAACTTGTTGCTTTTCGCTTGCATATCTTCCAGTTTGTGGGAAATCAGACATATATCATCGGCGAAGTCCAGATCCTCCAAGTGTTTTGTGTGAGGTATATTATAATAAAAGTTTTGTTGAACTAGAAAAGCTTGAAAAATCGTCAACCATAGGTTTACACGCTATAGAATTAGGCCACACAATTGATTTTGACAATATTGAAATAATCCAGAAAAGCTTCATAAATCACAAAGAACGTCTAATATCAGAAGCACTTCATATCAAATAGAATCCAAATTGTTTGAATAGAAATGATGAACTAAAACAGAATTTGACCTGGTTACAACAACTCCCTCCCCCATGAAGTGGCAAAATCAACAAGAATGTGATAAGCGATTTCATTATGTAAACACACACTGTTTTTATAATTTTGCACTCTTATCAAATCCAACAATCTACACTTGGTTTTGCTATCTTTACCAATTGGCCAAATTGACAACGCAAAACTGCCCCCATACTGAGGAACGATGATTAAGCTGTTATATATAAGCTGAGATTTTGTAAATTCTGGTTTAATAATACTTTGATAAAGCTGTTAGCAGCATTAAATAGCGAAACTTCAGTAAAAACAGTAATATCGTTTTGTTTTTCATTCATGCATTGGGAAATAAAATACAAAAAACCTTTATTATCATGAATATCATATCCCCAATGCCCGAATTTTTTCAAACTGTTAAAAGTGAACTTCGTTTGGACAAACATAATTCAAAGGTGTGTGTTTATGACTTGGTTATATTCCCTAAGTACTGCTAAGTTCTCATTGCTCTTCCTACGCAGCATCTATTTGAATAACTTTTATAAAATAATCACTTTATTCTAAATAATTATAATTATATACAATGAGATTTTCAGCGTTTTGTACATATTCCAACAATTTAACTCCTTTTTTAATACGCGCAAATACATAAAATAGTTATGAACACATGAGTAAGCAAAAAGCGATCTCTCTCTCCGTAACTTCACTACAAGGTTATACAGTTATTTAAAGGGCTTATATCTGCTGTGCAGATTGAGACAATAGAGGTTAAAGGTTATTTTAAGTCAGTAGGCAAAGTGAATCAGGCGCATGTGAGCAATAACTATGTTTGAAAAATTGGCAATAGTCTTACGTAATCAACAGGGTCGACAACTAATTAGTTAAGCTATCGATAATAATAAATAGTGAGGCTACATAAACTGAACGTTAGTGGAATATGGTGAATAATAAATAAACAATATAATAATAATAATGATATATGTAGTAGTAAATCTGGTTATAAATATCTGTTTATTTACCAATTCCAGCGATTTCTAAGCTCTTTTCTGACATTTTTCTCTTCACATAAAACACAGGCTACTAAATATAGTATAGTAGGATTTTTATATTTTGCTGTACGCGCATAAATTCTCATGCAATTTCTTCTGGTTTTACCCGAAGAGATACAAGCAAAAAGTTGCAAATAAAGAGGATGTTTGGTATCAAACAAGATTATTTTTAACTAACTGCTTGCAAGAATAAAAATGCCTATCGACAAAATTGTCAGTTTGAGTTGACTCAAAGACACACTGATAATCCCACTTAAAGACTTCAATGTTCTAAATATAATATGACACAATCTTTCTTCAGAAGCCCTGGGAAGAATAAGGGCAAAGAATTTAAGAATAATGGATAGGATGCATGAATTAATAAATTGTAAGAGAAGAGGTTGAGTTATTCCAGAAAGTCTCAACTTCTTCATGTCGAACGAAAAATTTTTTTAGAAACCAACAAGATATGAGACGACTAAAAGAGATTTGAAGACAAACTGATACCGAGATATCCCTATCATAAAAGTGCTATCGATATTATAAGAATCATAAGAGTGAATCAGTCCACACCTAACCTTGTTCACGTCTAAAACTAAAATCAATGGTATGATATTTAGAGGGATCCAGTTTTAAGACAATTTGATTGAGATCATTGATCGCAGCACGGATACTGAAAGCTAGTTTCGCATATGCCAGTTTACGCCGTCTCTGGCTTAGTAAACGTGATATCCAACTATCGACCAAAGGACGGGTGTGTTGCTCATCAGTCCGCTCCGTCCTCCTTTATGGCTGTGAGACCTGGCCATTGATAGTGGAAGACACAAAAAGATTAGCTGTCGGTGGCACAGTGGTTAGGACTCTCGCCGACCATGCACATGGTCCGGGGTTCAATCCCCTGCCGGCGCACACCCGATATCTATGGTTGGCCTGCAAAATTGGGCTACCGATATCACATGTTTAAAATTTTCTTTGTTCAAATCCTAAGTCAATGGAATAATCGTTAATGATATAAATTAACAACCGGTCACGACTAAGGTCATCAGAAGAGACAGTTATGTCACCTACGGAATAATTCAAAATAGCTCACTTCATGTTGAAATGAATGAACCCCCCGACATATTGCGTAGATAAATATTAAAGGCTTCATAGTGAAACCGATTATCGCAGAGAACACATCCAAATCAAAAATATCTGTCTGAACTACAAACCTTTTTTCCCATTATTGTTTTAAAACGTGTTTATGTTGTTATAGTGATTTTTTTAAAATCAAATTTGCGTATTTCAAATAGTAAAGTAAATAGTTGTTACAGGAAGGTTCATAGGTAAGATATTGAAATGAGAAATTCATTTCCATTTCGCATTCGCCAATGTGTACTTAATCTGTATCCACTTTTCAAAAGGTTAAACTGCTGCAAAAAACTGTTCTACCTTACAGCTGTCACTGAAATTAGAAAATATTGGGGGCGGGGGGGGGGGGAGAATTACAGGCTTTTCAGGCATAAATACACAAATTTCTTATTTTATGACCTAGACACAATGTTGTATGTCAGGAGTGTGGATATATTAGTCAAGAAGCTGAAGTCTGTCTGTCTGTCTGTCTGTATTCAACATAGAAGTTTGCACCGATGTGCACCAGTTCAAGTCACCACACTCCATCCACGTAGCACACAAAACAAGAGAAGAAAGTAGGAGAAATGCATAATATAGACAGTAAACAGAGGTGTGAGACAAAGGAATAGTAGTAACGAAGATCAATATAGTTTCATTGGAAATCATAAGTCACAAGGAGTGGATACACCTGCTCCATTGAGAACGATTTCGAGCCATATCACCAATTAGAAAGAAGAGAACACGAAGTTCAGCAAAGATATCTTTTCGGCGATTTCATTTTCAAAAGCTGTACAATCGCATTTAAATACATAATTTTACACGGAGAGAATTCTTGTTTCATTCTACATAATTATGATGGCGAATTAAAGGTGATAATTATTTCCAACTAGATATGGTTTTTACGAGAGGCTTAGAAACAAAATTACACAGGATTAGAGCGGATATCAAGTGTGTAAAAATGAGCATGGAAACGAAATTGATATAACAGTTTTAACTTGAAATGGAAGTTCGGAGGTGTGAATATAGATTACAAGAGCCTTAGAAACACAAAAATTGCACAGGATTAAGATATAATATTTAATTTTTTTTAAACGAATTTTAAATATGAACAGGAAAAGCATGGAAACAAACTTAAAATAACTGTTTTTATAACTGAAAAAATGGGGTGAATCGAATGAAGACTGAGGGAGTAAGAATCACACACATAATGAACGAAAAAGGATCACAAAGAAAAAAGAGAACGAAGGAAGAAAAAAACGGAAGCTAAGCTATATGCACATTTTATTCACCGTCGTAATTATGTAGAATCAAACAAGAATTGTCTCCATGTAAAATTATGTATTTAAATGCGATTGTACAGCTTTTGAAAATGAAATCGCCGAAAAGATATCTTTGCTGAACTGAACTTCGTGTTCTCTTCTTCGTAATATCACCAGTTGTCTCCAGCCACTGGTTTTTACCGTCCTGAGGACCCTAACCAGGAAGTCTGCACCTTCCTACTTGGCTTAGACTAACTGTTGTGGACTTCATTGACTTGTGCCATGTTTTCGTTTGACCGCCGCTAGCTCTTTTCCAGCCTGGCCCTATATCA